AGAGTGGCCTTTATTTACTGTAACATGAAGTTTCTAGAGACAAAATACACAGGGCACAGTGAGGCTTGGGACCCCTCTTCTCACTAACAGGGTCCTTCTGCCTGTCTAGGCTGCACTTAACCCAGTGCAACAATAAAAACGAAAGACTAAGTGGGTACCTTTCTGTGGGCCCCGCCAAGGTGTGCCACTCAGGGAACACTCCACGCGCCTGCAACAGTTAGTGCAAGAGGTTTATTGGGAGAGGGGAGAGCGAAAGAGAGAAAGGGCCGCCTTGAAGAGTGGGGGGAGGGCACGAGAGAGCCGAGCATACAGACAGAGCAGACAAGAGAGAAGACGGCAACAGGCAGGGAGAGAGAACTGTGACCGGTGGACGCTTTAAGGGGCGTGTCGCAGGTGATGATGTCACAGCTTCGGCCACCGTGTGGGGAACTAACAGCCTCCTTTTCTGCTTAGGCCCCTTCTCTGGCTGTGGTGGTCCTGGGCCTCCTCCACTTGAGAAGCAGTGTTCCCAGTTCCCCTTCCCTCAGCCCTGTAGGAGGGGGCCTTCCTTGCTGTGTGCATCAGGCATGCCCTGCAGACCACTCTGAGTTCCACCCTGGCTTTTCTGATTAGGCCAGCTTTCCAGAAAGAGGCAGGCAGACCTTCAGGACCACACTTGGTGGTAGCTGCCTGTAGGGTCCTGCTTGCACCCCCGAGACACCTTGAGCAAGCCTGAAGCTGTTGGCTGAACATTTTGCCCTGAGTTGATGTTGGTGCTCCTCCTGTTTTGCAAACACACATCTGCTGGGGAGGAGCTAAGCCTGAAAACCCTGTTTTCCACTGTGCTGTGAGTCAGTTTATAAAGCCACCCCATCCCCTCCATAAACAGCACTCCATCCCGACACTGCTGTTGAACAAATGACCCGCTGTCTTGTTTCTTATTTCAATCTCTAGGCCTTCGCCTGATTAGTGGAGCAGATTGTAGCTCTGGCGCTACAGATGACTATCCCATTGCTGGCAGGACAGCACAGCACAGGACACCACAGGCACGACCAGCCAAGCCCTCTGTGGGCCTCTCCCTTCTGTAGGCCTCCTTGGCTTTGGTTATGGGGACCTCAGATCAAGGTGAACAATGGGGGCTGCTGTGTTTCTCAGTCGCAATAGAAAGTAGTTGTGAGTTCTTCTTCAGTAGGCCCTCCTGGGCACCCACATGAAACAAAGCAATCTAGGTGGTGTATGGAGAGGATTAGGACAACTGTGCAGTCCAATCCTGGATATCCAGAAGGGCCTCAGAGAATGTCTGTGGCAGCATTAGGCTGAAGTGGGGGCTCAGATCTTGCTTGCCCTCTGGGCCTGGGAAACTCACTCCTGGGCCCTGGGGATAATGGCATTGTGCTTACAGAGTGATAGCGCAGGGAATGCCACACGAGCAAGTTGGTGGTTTGGTGGTGTGGTCGACATGTCAGCTGCAACCCTTAGGTAGGGACCTGGTTAATCTCTGAAGCAGACATCAGTTTATATCCCTAGAACATGATAAATGTCTGTCATATACTAGAACTTCTGTAACTACACGTAGAAGAAATAAGGGAGGGGTGGGAAGGTTGGCTCTGCTCTTCCAGAAGATCTGGGTTTGAGTCCCAGAACCTTCATGATGGCTTACAACTGTAACTCCAGTGCCAGGGGTATCTGATGCCCTCTCCTGGCCTCCATAGGTACTGCAGGCATCATAAGCAAAACATTCATACACAGAAAATAAAAGCAAAAACAAACAACAACAACAACAAAACTTTTTAAAAGGGGCGAGTGCAGAGGCAATTTAAAGGAAGCTGAAGGAGAAGTGCAGATACTTGAGCTGGGTCTTGAGTGAGCAGGAGTTGACCAGAAGAGCAGGTGGGAAGTGGGTCGCATGTGCAGAGAAAGGTCTTGGACTGAGCTGCGGCTGGAAGCGAATGGAATACCCCAGGGACAAGCAGACACAGGGTGAGATGTGGGAGTTGGGGTGGGGGTAGCGAAGCTGGCCACAGTTCAAACAGGATCTGTGTTGAAGTCAGGGCTGGGTCCAGGCTATGTCTGGGCCTCCCTCTTGGTAGGGAAGGCCTGACCTACATTTCAGAGACGTTCATTGAGCCAGGCCCCTGTAACACTTCTGTAATTACCCCTGGGAGAAAGGTCACAGCCTCTCTCTCAAGGGGCCACCAGTCAAGGCCATACAGATTTCTTGCAGAGTCAAATGTCCCCTCAGCCCTAAGGAAATCCCCAGGGAGATGCCAGCCTCCCCAAGGCCAAGCATATCAGCTAGGGCCTTGTACAAGGAAGAGGCCTTTATTAACACTCTATAGTCTCTGTGGTGGTCTCCTCTCCTCCCTTGCTCCTGGGCCTCTCCCTCCTGTCCTGAAGCAGGCATAGGACCCTGTGTCCTGCTGTCCTTACAGAAGTAAGTAGGCTTACTGCTGTAGAATGTCCCTCTCGGGTAGGTGGCAGCCTGCTCCTCACTCTGTGGACCAGCCCACGCCCTTTGAGCAGCCTCTCCACCTTGTGTTGTTTGGATGTGTGTACATGATGAAGGTGAGCAACACGTTTGAGTCCACGGGTTCCCTGCCTCTGGGTTCAAACAGCTGTTGGTTAAAGATATTCCCATGAAAAATCCTTCCTAATTAGAAGATGGACAGCCATCCTAAATAACCGATACTCTCAGAGTGTTGCCGTGGATTTGGTACTGCTGTTGTCTAGAGAGAGGAGGTGTGCAAATGCTTAAGGCTTCACAGTCTGGTGTCCGTGGATGTTCATGGAACCAGATCCCCTCAGGTAGGGAGGGCCCATGTATCGACAATATCCGTGGGGGACCTTGGCAGATTCCATGGCAGGCGAGGGTGACTGAGGTGGGGGACAAGCATGCCAGGCAGACAGAGCTTAAGTGAGAAGATTTATTAGGAAGGGAAGAAGGGGGGGAGGACCCAGAGACAGAGATAGGACAGAAAAGGGAGACAGGAAAAGTCCTGTCTGCCCCAGGGTAACAGAGAGCATAAGTGGGCCGGGGTCTGTCTTTTAAAGGGACCTTTGCACCTGCTTGCAGACTAGTAATCATGGAAGCCTGGGCTGACCAGGGTACTGCCTGAGTGCATTCTGCCAGGTGACAGGGCAGGCCAGCAGAATGCCGGATTTCTTACATCCACTGTTTTACTCACTCAACCAGTGAGAGTAGAGCTACGTCCACTATCAGAAGGTGGACCATCCCTTGGCAGACTTGCAATAGCCACATGTACGAAGCCACTTTCCAATGGAGTAAACCCTGTAAGAAAGGAGCATGTTTATGCTGTAGTTTGCAGGAGGGCAACTCTTGAACAAGAGTCTCTCCGCAGGGAGGCTGAGGGGAAAGAGAGGAAGGCTGCACGGCTGATGAGAAGGTGGAGGAAAGGCATCAGAGGGGACACACCCCTCCAGAGCTGGTTCTGGAGGGGTGGATCATGCCATAAGGAAGTGGGAAAATAATGGCTTCTTGCTATGTCCCTGCTCACTAAAGCCTGGTACCTGTTTCATTTTTATTTTATTTTGCCACAGCCATTGGAGAAGTTTCTCTGCAGCTGCCCAATGCCACAGGCTATACTGGATAGTTTTGCCCAGTTGACACAAACTAACGTTGTCTGAGAGGGGGAATCCTCAGTTAAGAAGATTTTTCTGTAAGATGGGGCTGCATTTTCTTAATTAGTGGTTGTGATGGGTTGCCATCACTGGGCTGGTTGGCCTGGGTTCTATAAGCAAGCAGGTTGAGCCAGCCAGTAAGGAGCACTCTTCCATGGTCTCTGCATCAGCTCCTGCCTGCTGTCCTGTTTGCATTCCTGTCTTGACTTCCTTTAGTGATAACCAGTGAGGTGGAAGTCTCATAAACCCTTTCCTCCCCAGCTTGCTTTTGATCATGGTGTTTCATCACAGCAATGGTAACTCTAACTAAGACACAGGTCCTGATCCCGCATCCTCGGAGAGAGAATGATGCTAGAGGGAGGCAGGCTAGGCTAGACCAGCCAGCCGGCCCTACTTCCTTTGTTCCAGGCATGTGGGAAACATCACCAGCGTGGTGACTTCTTTCTTGGGAAGAATTCAGTTAAGTTTGGGTCCTGGCTCTGCCCTTCCCAGAGCTGGAACTTCCTGGAGCTTTGGCTTTTTTTTGTTTATGACAGAGGGGCAAGAAGTCCACCTCAGAGGGAAGGAGGACAACTTTTAAGCTTTTTATTATTGTTGTTGTTGTTATTTTGAAACAGGGTTTCTCTGTAGCTTTGGAGTCTGTCTTGGAACTTGCCCTGTAGACCAGGCTGGCCTTGAACTCGCAGAGATCTGCCTGCCTCTGCCTCGAGAGTGCTGGAATTAAAGATGTTTGCCACAACAGCCCAGCTTTAAGCATTCTTTATAGTCTTCACCTGAACCCCAAGAGGTAGATCAGGCCATTGGCCACATTTTGTTTACAAAGAGAAGGAAACAGCTTGAGGTGGGAGGCTAAGGAGGTAGGATGGCAAGTTTGAAGCCAGCCTGGACAACTTAGTGATTTCAAGGCCAGTCTAGATAAACAATATAATGAGACCCTTTCTCAAAACAAAACGAAAACCTAGGAGAAACCAGAACAAAACAACAAACAATCAGAAAACCCAGAAGGGAACAGAAAGGTGAAGTAAGTAGCTCACACCCAGGTTTGCAGTGAGCTCTGTAAGTGTGCCTAGTCTACCCCTTGCTCATTCATCTGCAAATGCAGTACCCTGTGTGATTTCCACAGAGCCTCCCTCCATCTCACCCCAGCAGCCTGTGTATTCTTGGGAAGTGCCCATGGGGATCTCCATCCTGGACATTCCCAGCTTTCAGGTCCTTCAAAAGCAGAAGTTCCTACCTGAGTTCCCACAGCTTAAACTCTGCTGCTAGACAGAGAAGCTGCCGGCTTCGCTGCCTGCTGTGTGTGTACCTGGCTGCCGCCCGGGGTTCAGCTGTACCTGGGGTTCAAACTTTTCTCACTGGTCCCCTTCTTCATTCACCTCACCATGCCTTTCTGCCCCACCAAGTATCTGAAGAGGAACAGGCGCCTGCCCAGGGGTAAGTGGACAGCCAAAATCCTGTGAGGGTAGCAGCCGGGAAACCTGGAAAGTCACCCTTGCTGGGCAAGTGATGTTTGCTGCCTCCAAGCCAGTAAAGAGTAATGAACGAAGGAGGGAAGATCCACAGGCGAGGTCAGCCTGGCAGGACAGGCAGCTAAGGCTGCACCCTGGGGAATCTGTGTGGCTGCCTCAGCTGGGTCACTGCCCACAGCTGGCCATTCACACATCTGCCTGTCTACCTGTGAGCATTTCAGTCACCTCATCTTGTCTACTGTTGTTCACCTTTTGTGCTCTGTGTGTCCCCTCTCTATGCCAGGCTCTCCTGGTGCTCAAGTGGCACAAGACACAGACAAAGTGAAGGGCTGACAGGCGGCAGAAATCTGTCATGTCAAAGTATTCTGTGTGCTTTGGAGGTACTGGATGCTATGGGACAGTGACGGCTGTTAAGGAGCATGGATGTGGTTGGAGATGAGAGGTCAGGAGAGGTTCTCAAAGGTGACATTCAAGGAGAATGAAGTGAGGAGCAAACCATGCCAGTGTCTGGAAGAGCAGCTTTTTTTCCTGGGCACTGGGCAGGAAATGAGAAGATATGAACCATAAACAGAGAGCACGCTTGATAATGCCACTCACAGAGGAGGTAACCAGGGACCAAGGGGCAGGAGTAGGGCACCAGGCTCTGATGAAGGTAGCAAGGCCATGGCTGGCATGGGTGCTCCTGGGAGGACCCGGCAAGGAGTCGGGCTGCTCTCAGTCTTAGCTGGGTCTCTGTGACTTCTGTACTGGGAATAGATGTTAGGAGGGAAACGAGAGACGCCTGGACACTATGCCAGCCCTCCAGTTGAGGAATGATTGTGACCTCAACCAGGTGGACAATGGTAGGTGATCCAATTCTGAAAGATGAGCAAATGGGACTTACTGACAGGATATGAGATGTGAAACTAGAAAGGAGGGTGTGTCTGTTTTCAACCTGAGTCACTGAAAGTTGGAGTTGCCCTCAGCCAAGAGGATAGCCAAGCCACGCCCAGAGATGTGATTGGTTCAGGTGGAGTGTGGGACAATGGTGAGTTTGTAAGTCATTAACATACAGCCTGCCTTGAAAACCTTGCGAAAGGCCATTGAGTACCCTCCCCCAAAGAGAGAATGAGTGTGTGCAAGTGCAGGAGAGGGGATCCAGGTTCCCCCCCCCACACACACACATACCAGCCCTCTACCTCGGCTCCCTGACCCTGAATGGAACCTGGCTTGATAGAATAGTAGGGATCTCTTGTGGACATGCCACTTTGTGCCTGTGCAATATCACACGGCTGTGGAATTAGTCAGTCAGACCCACAGTCATAGACCTGGTAGATCTCTATCAGTGGTTTCCCACACAGGGCAGTTTTGCATCCCCAGGGGCATCTGGTAGTGTGTGGAGGTGTTCATCGTCCTCACAGCCTCAGGGAGCAGGAGAGTGGTGCTAGTCTAGTGAGCAGAGGACAGGGGTCCCCTTTAAACATTCTGCTTATTAAGCACAAAACAGATCCCACCCACTCTAAAGAACCACCCAACCCCAAATGCCATTAGTGTTGGGACTGACCTGATCTACTCTCCTAGTATTTAACTGAATGTAGTAATGAAAGTGGACTTGCAGGTTTGGCTTGCTAGCCTAGGTGCTAAGCCAAGCTGTATTCCTTTTCATGCTCCTAACAGGATAGGTACCTTCACTTTCTCCACCCCAAAGCTGTGGGACTTGATGCTGTGGGAATTAAGTCCATGTGCTCCACACAGTAGAGCTGAGGTTGATCCCCAAGAAAGGGGTTACCACTGCCCGGGATGCATGGAGGGCAGAGGGATGACTCCATTATCAGACGACTCTGGGATGAGTGTTTGCTGTTCAAGTTTGTCATCCTGAGTTCAGTCCCCAGAACTCACATGATAGGAGATAGGAGGGGGACCAAATCTCACAAGTTGTCCTTTGACCCACATGGATATACATGTGCATGTGTGAACACACACACACACACACACACATAATATAAATAAATAATAATATAATGATGCAATAATGTAATAAAAGGGCATGAAAGATGGCGCAGTGTTTGAGAGCATTTGCTGTTCTTGTAGAGGACCCACGTTCTGTTCCCAATACCCACATGGCAACTTACGATTGTCTTAGCTAGGGTTACTATTGTAATAAAACCCCATGACAAAGAGCAGCTTGGGACGGAAAGGGGTTGTTTATCTGGCTTACACTTAAGATTGTAGTCCAACACGAAGGGAAGTCAGGGCAGAGACCTGGAGGCAGGAGCTGAAGCGGAGACCGAGGAGGGAGGAACATGGCTCACTGGCTTTCTCCTCATGGCTTGCTTAGCCTGTTTTTTTTGGGGGGGTGGGGTGGGGGAGTTGTTTTGTTTTGGTTTGTTTCTACAACTCAAGACCACCTGCTTAGGGGTTGGCACCTCCCACATTCATCATTCCTGCAGGCAGTCTGGATGGAGTGAGTATGCACCCCAGGGAGGGTGAGGCCTTCCATGGGTATCTTCAAAGTCTGTCATATCATTTGGAGCAGGGTCTAGGCCCTCCCCATGTGTCTAGGCTGAGAGAGTATCCCTCTGTGTGGGATGGGCTCCCAAAGTCTATTGGAAGATTTTTTTTTAATGTAATAAAATTTTTAAAAATAAGAGAGAAGGAACAGGAATAACAGCTTGAATCATTTATTCCTGAAATACCTGCTGTCACATTTCCTTTAAATCTACTATTCATTTTTCCTAAGTAAAGAGAAAAGGTAGGTTTAAATTGTTGGATGCTATAAAAGCCCTACAATTTGTTTCAACACCATTTGGTCTTCCTTGTACTCCACTCAGTTACCGAGAAAAAAAAAAAAAAACACAACCTGCCGTTGCATGCGGCCCTCTGTTTGTCCATGCATCCAGTATTTAACTTCCCTATAAGCCCTGGCTTCTGCATGTGTAAAATGCTCTTAGTGACATTCCTTCTTGTGGTGTCATTGAGAACTGTGTGTGATTGTGAGTGTGTCACTTGTAATGGACCCCTTAGATACAGGGATGTGACTGTCGCTTCTAAAGAGCATGAAGCAAGAGGGACCAATTTGCTGTCTGTGGAAACAACTTTGCCCCAACACATTTGTATGTTTGAAGTGGTGTCATCAAGATACCCAACACTAGATAATGAAGGGCCTTTGCCCCAGGAGTTGAGAAACAAAGTGAGTCCTGTGGATGTCCAAGTGGAATGCCTAAGGACTATTCCAGGCTGTGATGTAGGAAAGGGACACACAGATGGAGGTCACTGGCCTCCATAGGTAGCGACCACACAGCTGAGAGTCTGGAGACCAGAGCGGGGTCGTGTGTGAAAGAAGATGAAAGGGCTGCACAGAGACAAAGCACCCATGGGAAACTCGCTCAGAAACTGTCACCGCCAGTATCTGAGGGAACCACACAGCATGGGACACTGGGTGGGACATACAGAGAGCTTTTCCCTCTACGGGGAACCATAGGCTCTGCACTGAGCCCTCTAGATCCACCTAGGAAACTCCTGCCACAAGCCTATCTTCATCTCAGAGAAAGGTTCAAGAGTATTTATAGGATTATAAAGTCCCCAAGCACCCAACCATTGAAAAACCACAGTGCCTGGCACCCACTCAAAAACAGGAATGTGAAGAGGCGGGCAAGTCAGGCCCGGAATGAGAGGACAAGTCAACAGCTGAAAACAACGGAAATGTCACACATTTGAAGGCTAACAGACTGAGACATTAAAATAGTTTCTTTATAGCCAAATTCAGTGTGTCCTAAGAACTCAGCTGAGACCTGAGAGATCCATAAAAATCATAATGATGATGAAAGCCCAAATCATATTTCTGGAGGGCAAGCCTTCCATGTATGAACTGAAAAAATAACTCGCACGGACAAACAGGGAAGATGAAAGGCTGCTAAGCTTCAAGCAGTAGAAATTATGAGTGCTTGCTAATGTTTGGGAGGTTTTGTTTTTCTGGGGGGACAGGCTCTCACTAGGCCTGAAAATTTGTAGCCTAGACCAGCTTCACACCTGTGAATCTCCTGCCTCAGCCTCTAGAGTGCTGGCGTGTGCCATCATGCCTACCTTTATAGTCATTTTCTGCTGGTGTGTGACAAGTCACCACAAAACCAGTTGCTTAAATACCAGCTCAATCTGTGTGTTGTCTGTAAACGCCAAGGTTACAGGCCCCTTGACTTGAACCAGACCTGTAAAACCTCCAGAACCACAGACAGCACACATGATTTCTGTTTTGATATGGAAACAAATGAACAAATACAAACACACCAAAGTGAGAGCAAGGGAGAAAAAGAGAAAAGCTGGACCCCCCCCCCAAAGAAAGGCCTGTGGGGTGTGGAAAGAGATTGGGTGCCTGCGAACTGCAAGCAGGATGAGCTGACCTCACAGGTGTCCGGAGGGGACCCGCTGTCCTACATGGGGACCCTGCAGTCAAGCCTTGTCTCTCTCTGTCTTCACAGGTGGTGCCGCCGGGGAGCGAGAGAAGGTGCCAGCCAACCCCGAGGCGCTCCTGCTCATGGCCAGCTCCCAGCGTGATATGGAGGACTGGGTGCAGGCCATCCGCCGAGTCATCTGGGCCCCGCTGGGCGGAGGTACTTCCCGTAGCTCGCATGCCCACCCTGTAGAACCTTTGTCTACAGGTAATCTTGTCCTCTTGCCTTGAGCCCACAAGTTCTCTCCCACTTGGGACTTGCTGGCTGCATCTTGCATGTCTGATGGTAGCTTGGTCCTTTTGCTCCTGTCCTCAAAGTCATGCCTCCCATCCAGTGCTTAGCCCCCTGGCAGGGAACACAAGTCTCCAAATATAAGCCTATGGCCTTTACATGCTTGCCTCCTTGCATGTAGTTACCCTGTTGAATGCTGAGTGGTCTTCTTCACACAGAGTGCAATTGGGCCACACAATACCCTGTGTTCATAGTCAATGCCTCACTCTGCACCATTCCCTTTTCCTAGGCCTTCCTGCCACACTGGAACCCCGTGCCCACTTCCTGTCCTTAATCTGCTGTTTGCATGCTTGTTCATTCAAAGTATTGAGTTAGTGGTAAAAGACACCTGGTCTATTGCAGGCCCTTGGGAATTCAGTGGTGAACAAAGCAGGTCTCGCCCCTGGCTCCCACGCCTGACTACCTGGCACAGTCTATAGACAAGGCAGACAAGTATACATCTGAAGGTGTTTGTGAGTGAGAGACGCAAGGGAGCAAAGGGCCTGGGGATGAGGACGGTGGGAGGGCCTGGGCTAGGCAGCGGGACCATGGAGGGCAGTGTTTAGACATCACTGTGAATGGAACTGGGCGCCCGGGATAGTGGTGAGCAGGAGGTAGGGGGACTGGACTGAGACTGAAAACCTTTTAGTCATCATGTAAGGAGTGGACCACAAAGACAAGAGTGGCCGTAGTAGGCTGGGACAGGGAAATAAGCAGAGATGGAGAGACAGCTGGGGTGGCTCACCACACATGAATTCTAAAGGGACGTCTCTGGACTTTGCCCAGGTCTAGTCCTGGAAGGAAAAATGAAGTCCTGCTTCTAGACACGTGACTGTCTCAATAGGTTGTTGTCCATATGAAGTGACCCTCAAAGTATGTTCATGACAGTGGCACCAGCTGGGGGAGGGGAAGGAAGGAAGAACTCCCTGCAGAACACGGAGACCCTGAGCTTTCCAGCAGGTTGGATGTAGCCATGGTGTGAGCATCCTCTTTCCCTGTAATATTTGTCAGGCAGGGGCAGACCCTCACCTTTGGGGGTTCTAAGCCCATATCTAGAACTGACAAGCCCTGTGCCCTCCACCTCCTACCTCACAAGCTCTCCTCGCTTGTTGCTGGCTATGTCCTGCCTGATCGCCTTCACTAAACCTTGTGGAGAAGAGTCAATGAAATGTTAGAAGTGGAGATTGTCCTCCTGGGTCTCATTGGGGCAGCCTCATGATCACAGAGCATTTAGTGGTCTGGGAAGACCAGAGCCACTGAAAGATGACCTCTGTAGCCTCAAAGGACCTCTTTTTGTGCCAGGACATTGAAAGTGAAGCCAAGGAACAGAGCAGAGTCCAGAATAGACATCATGTGCTTGGACTGTGGCCCGTAAGAGGCAGTGAACATCAGAGGGAATTCACAGAGAGGAGAAGGACTGATAGATAATCTATACTGAGTAAACCAAAGGACATGGATTCTATAAAGGTCAATTAAGAGGTTGGAGAGGGAAGCTGTGTGTTAAGGAGAAGGTGTTTGTGACATGTGTGAGCCCATCAAGATTTCCAACTCAATAAAACAAAGGTGAGCCAATAGAAATATGGGCATGGCTTGAATGGGCACGTTGCAAAGAAGCAATCCTCATGGCCTGTGAACATGGTGAGTGGGCTCAATCCCATTGGTCACCAAAGACATGTGAATTTAGTCTGGTGGTCCATCTACTTGTCACTCTAAGTGTTGTACATATCAGAGGGAAGTAGCTTATATCTGGTAAAGTCACTGCCCTGGCACACACGACTCAGCATTTCGCCTGGGTAGCAGGCCCCGTATAGAGATGTGTGTACAGTTCTAGGAGACTTTGACACACAGGCTTTCACAGCAGTCCCAAATTAACTCTAGGGCTTAGAAACATTATAGGTAAATAATTAACTCATTCTTACAGTGGGAAACTCTACATTGGGATGAAGGAATCCACCACAGCCCCACCCAATAGCATGTATTAAGACTCTACAACTGTGGAACTGAAGAAGCCAATCAAATAGTAGCATGCTTTGATTGCCCTTATAGTGAGATGAATGATAACACAGAGGGAATGATAGCATTTATGGGTGGTTAGGGAGCAAAGAAAAACAGAGAAGTGAGTGCCTCAAAGGATCAGAAGTAGCCGGGTGGTGGTGGCGCACAAGTTCCCACCAGCAAGTTCCAGGACTGCTAGGACTGTTACACCGAGAAACCACATTTCTAAAACCCAAAGGGACGGAGGTGGAAGAGCAGGATAAGAAGGAAGGATAGGGGAAGGCCATAAGAGTTCTTTAATGCTCTCTAGCTTGATTGAAGTAGCTGTTACACAGATGTGTAAATCCATGGTTTTAATTATTTGGGGGGGGGAGATTTTACATATCCAATGTAAAAAAGAGATGAGGAACTAAGCATCAAAGAAGACTGAGTAATTTGCTCAAAATGATACAACCAGTTCTGGTCTAAGGAGCCTCACTTGGTACCAACCCATGCAGAATGTGGAAGGGCACCCACTCCACGCTCTACATGTGTGTAGTGGCACAGCCTACCTGTCCCTCACTTCCTGCATGGGCAGAATGGAGAGCATTGGCAGTTTTGCTCTTCCCACTAGGCCTGGGATTTCTGTGACCCAGAAGGCCACTTGCTGTATGCAGAAGAAACATGGGCCCCAATAGGAACTGTCACCCAAGCTTCCTTCTGTCCGCCCCAAGTAGAAATGTAGAAGTACCAGGAGGGAGCGAAGCAAGCCTGAAGCTTACAGGTGCCCAACAGGCACCACAGGTCTCCTGGAAGTTGTTGTTAGCTTGGTTACCTGGAGGAGGCTTAGAGAATCGGTCGTCTCTCCTTGTGGGAATCCTTTCTAGTTTGTCTATTGTGGTAGCAGTCAGCCACTTTAGACAGGCAGACATCATGCCTGCTGCAGAAGGAAGAGCCCATCATCCTTACAGAGAAGAAAGGCGGACAGTGGGTATTGTCATGCGACTGCCCTGGAGTGACTCTGTGGCAGTCACTCACTTAGCTAGCCACAAGTGTGTCCTTAGGGCTGGGGAGTTGGCCATGAGCAGGTCAGAAAGGCCAAGTCCTCCTGGAGCTCATTTTCTAGTAGGAGGGGACCTCAGCAAGCTAAGAACCCAGTGCAGGCAGCAGAACAGGGTGCTCAGGCCCAAGTGAGCACGGGACTGGAATTTGGTAACATCTGAATGACCAAAATGAAGCAGCCAGGGACAGTGCTGCCACAGGAAGTGCCTGATGCTGAGGAGCAGATAGAACGGCAGCCAGGCAGGCGGGCCAGGGAGGACTGTGTGATGGGAATGGAAGAGGGAGACCAGGAAAGGGCGTGTCATCATGCGGAGGCAGCTGACTCCTCAGGATTGATAGAGAGAGAAGGCACAGAGCCTGACGGTGGTGGGAGGGAAGGCGGGAAGGAACCTTGCCCAGGACATGGAGAGATGCAGGGAAACATAGGGGAAATCATATATCCGTGGACAACACAGTGACTTACCTAGCATTTACATTAAATACAAGTAATCCAGAGATAACATATATGAAAAACGTATATTCAAAGTATAAATTCAGGGCCTGGAGAGATGGCGCAGTGGTTAAGACTGCTTGCTGTTCTTCTGGGGGACCTGAGTTCAGTTCCCAGCACCCGCATCAGGTGTAACTTCAGCTCTAGGGGATCTGATGAGCTATTCTGGCTTACACATCTATGACATCACACACACACAGGCACATGCACAGATACATACATAGAGACACAAAAATATACACATAAATAAAAGCTCAAGTTAAAGTATAAATTCAGTGGTAGATCACCCTCCTAGCATGCACCACTTTGATCCCCAGCAGTGCTAAATGACAAAAGACAAAGAATTGGAAACTGTGCATAGGTTACTTGCAAATACAACACCCATTGCCCACAAGGGACATGGGCATCCTCTAGTTTTGCTATCCTTTGGACTCTACAACTGATCTCCACAGATATTGCAGGCTGATCACCATTGAACTTTTCTTTTCTTTCTTTCTTTCTTTTCTTTTTTTCCAGAAGGTAGAACCAGTATTGCACACATGGGATGGGTATGAGAGAGTGAATGAGAAAGTCACAGTTTGAGCAGGGTATTTTGACTAAGCACCTGGAAAGATAGATTGGCTAATGAAATACACGTCAGAGATGCAGTTGTTTGGATGAATGCAGAGGGGGCTTAGTTTGAGGTATGTATTAGATGCTGAAGTTTGGGTGTCAAGTAAGCACCTACATATTTATGTTTGCAATGGAGGGGCAGGTTGGAATAAGAATTGTTAGGGTACCGGCCTCATGAGAATGGGTGAGACCCCAGAAAGCAAGTGTGGTGACAGGACAGCAAAGGATGCCCTTGAATTACCCACAGATAAATCATGAGCAGCCAGGCAGGGGCACACCTTTAATCCCAGCACTCAGGAGGCAGAGGCAGATGGATGGATCTCTATGAGTTTGATGCCAGCCTAGTCTATACAGTGGGTTCCAGGACAGCCAAGGTGACACAGAAAAACTCTGTCTTGAAAAACAGCAACAACAACAACAAAAACAAGCAAACAAACAACAAAAGCAAGTAAAAAGAAAGAAGCTAAGGAGGAGGAGTATGGACCAGTGGTGGCAAATGCTGGGTGATCCCTGGAGGAGGGTGCAGTTGAGTTTGGTTACTGTGGTCATAACAAGTGACAGCAGGGGGCTCTGTGTGTGTGTGTGTGTGTGTGTGTGTGTGTGTGTGTGTACACAGCAACTCTTCCAGGAAGTCCTGTGAAGAGAAAGGCTAAGGCAATGGCTGAAGGAGGAAGCTGAGCAAGGAGGGTAGGAAGGTTTTGATGGGATACAGAATAGTCTTGCAAAAGGCTGCTGGTGCAGGAGTCAGAGCCCCCAGGTCTCCAGATACAGAATTTTAGCACACCAAATCTGGCATCAGAACATTTGCAAATCTGTGAATGTAATACGGATATTAGTGTCTAAAAATAAACTCACATATTCATTCATTAGCTCAGAAAAATGGTCCCTATTAACCTGGAATATAATATGATAAGTGGCATCTTTAGAAGCACCAGGGAAAGAGGAGATGGCTCAGTAATGCGCTTGCTGTGTAAGCATGAGGACCCAAGTTCAATCCCCAGCACCCATGTAAAAAGCACATGTGGTGGCAGCATTCACACTCTTAGTTCCAACACTGGGGAGGAAAACACAGGAAGATTTCCTCAGACTCACTGGCCCAGCCAACCTAGTCTAAAATAGCAAACTCCATTACCTCAGTGAGAGTGTATCTCAAAAAATAGGTAGATGACATTCTTTTTTTTTTATTTTATATAACCAAGTCCATTTAAATGAAAACAAACAGTTATAGACAATATTTAGGAATTTGGGCGTCGTTCTTTCCAAACTACTTCTGGTAGATTACATTCTTGAGGAATGGCACTTGAATTGACCTCTAGCCTAGATGGTGTGCATCCCACCATACCCACAGGGCTAGAAATGCTTGTCATGCAAGCATGAGGATGTGAGTTTGAGTCCCAGCATCCACATATAAGTTTGACCTGGCAGCATCTCAGCATGGGGGAGGTAGAGACGGACCAGAGGATCCATTCTAACTTAATTGCTTAAGTGAGAGGCCCTATCTCAAAGTTAGGAGGGGAGGGCACTTGCCACCAAACCTGATGACCTGAGTTTGACCCCCAGAACTTACATGATGGGAGGAGAAAGCAAACTCTCACAAGTTGTCCTCTGGCCTTCACACTTATATATACATCATGCGCGCGCGTGTGCGTGCACGCACACACACACACACACACACACACACACACACAATGAATAAATGGGACAGAAAGGTAGAAAGCAAATAGAGGAAGACACAGACCTAGACCTCTGGCCCCTACTTGTACATTTGGGTATGATCACACACACATATGTTCATACACTTACACATAGCCTCACAGGTGACCTCAGACTTGAGGGGGAGAGGCTATATGCTTCCAATATGTACTGGAGGCGCTGGCTTGGTTATTAGGCAACAGAGAAACCCAACTGGAGAAGGGAGACAGTATCTCTATTTACAGTATGAACTCTTCCCCTCCACTTCCCTGACCTTAAAAAAAAATTAATTTTATGATACTGTAGATCAGACGCAGCAAAGGGAGTATCTTTCAGCCAATTCCAAGTCCTCACAGCCTGCTTGTACAGCCCAAGCAGGGTCCTGTGGACCATTGCTTCAGCCTATCATATCCAGCTTCTACACTGCCCACAGGCATTGAGCCGAGTGTTTGGACCACTCCTGGCCTGGCTGCTAGTCACAATTTTCCCTTCACCAAGGAACATGCACCCCCTCTAGTTAAAGTGAGAATGATTCCTAAAGGTTACTGGTTGCAAAAGCCCAATCACACTGTTTCCTACAGCTCTGGGTGGGGCTGGGCCTCAGGGGTGGGGGTAGGGAGGGAATCAGCTACAGTTTGTGGTGTAGTTGGCTCAGTGCACTCATAGACAGCCAACAGCTGATGCTGGCATGACGGTGGTTGCTCTGACAGTGTGACCTATAGTCTCCTTGATCAAGCGCAAGAACCTAGCAGCTGCTGCTTAGTCCAATTTCTCATTCCTGGTGTCTTTGCCTGTTTACAGGAAAATGAGCATCAGAAGGAATACTTACAATCAAAGCTAAAGAATTTATCATTAGTACCCACGGTGATTGTGAGAGTGTTTACACCTGCTGCGTGTGGAGGGAAAGTTAGTCCATTTGCCTCTTGTAAGCTTTTGTTTTGGGTTTGCTAATAGTCACCACCGTAGTGGGTGTGAAGTGGTGTTTTATTGTTTAAACAAAGTGTTGCAAGAAGGCCAGAGCCAGTCAGGAGGATGTCTGGTGGGAATCTGCCAGAACCACGCCTTAGCCTTGGCAGAGGGGAGCATTGATGTGGGTTGGAGGAAACTGGCTGAGAGTCAGGTGGTGGGTGAGTACCTCCTGGCTCCCCTCAGGGTATGGGCTTTTACTCCTCAGGGAGATGGGGAGAGAGCGTTGGCAAGTTCTGAGGCAGAGTGTGGTGATCTGACATTCGGTTTTGAGGGGACCTCTGACTGTTTCCTGGACAGGTAGGAGGGGGTCCAGAATCTGGACCATCCATGCAAACCTGCAGCTCTTCTCATGGGCCTTGCTGGTGAGCTGAGCAGATTGCAATGCCGTTCAGAAACTGGGAGTGATGAGATCGCCAGGATGTGAGTGTGAGAAAGGGAGGTGTGGACATTGACTCCAGGGGACATGCTGAGCATCTTGCAAGGACGGAGGTCAGTGACAGTGAAAGAGGGACCAGCATGGAGCAGGCTGGGGGGGGCACTGTGGGAACATGGCTGTCTAGACACATTTGAGTTTGAGCTATCTGTACAGGGCTGGGGACCATTTCTCCCCAGTGCCATTTGCTCCATATCTTAGCCTCTCCGGGGTCTCAAGAAGACAGTCGTATTTCTAATTCCAGTGAATGTCAATCTACCAAGCCAGTGAGGCTGAGTCTGGGTCACTTGAGCCTGGTTCTGATGCTGTCTGCCCATTCTAGTGAGACGTACCAGGTGGAGACTTACTTCCTCATGGGCCTGGGATCCTAGTCTAATACAGGGCAGATGAGGCATCTGCAGGGCTTAGGGACTGGTTCACAGTGCCCTTGGGTCTCCTTTCCTGAAGCACTTGAGTCCTCTCCCCCAAAAGAGCTCCAGAAGCTCATGGTTTGGAATCTGCAAGACAGTCACTGCTCCAGGCTCAGCAGAGCCAGGACATTGGACCTTCTGCCAGGAAAGCCAAAGCCAGATCAACTGCTCGATCTAGGCGCTCCCCACAGCACAGCTCGGCTCAGCCACCCCTGATTCTCCCTGTTTCTCTCACCCTGTCTTCCTTCCCGTCCTCCTTGTGCAGCCCTGTGAACCAGCCTTCCCTCACTATGCTATATGGAGCTCAGCGCTCTTGCACACACAGCTCAGAGATGGCCATCTAAACTGAAGAGCCCACCTGCCACCAGGCTGCTCATGGAGGAGAACCACCCTCATGGTCTCAGCTCCCCACCCAAGGGTGCCCAACCCAACAGACTAGAACTCAGTGAAGCAGGCCTGGTGAGAACCAATAAGCAGGAGGCAGCAGCAAACCTCCATTATCTGGGGATTTCCTGGGCTGGTAGGTCTAATTCAGGGACCTCCAGGTTGGGAAACTGGGGTTCAGAGAGGAGAAAACAAGCCAGCACCATTGTCTGCCCACCCTAGGTGGGTAGGTAGGTGCCTCTCTTCCCACCTTCAGACTGACCAGAGGAGAGAAACTATAGACACTTTGGATTTTACACACTCTTGGCCCCACACTCAGGTTCAGGACCTGCAGTAGAGGAGTCTCAGTGTCCCACAGCCTGAAACTTCTGGGAGCATGGGCTTTCCCCAGGCACCTATGGGATCCAGTGACCCAGAAAAAGAGAAAATGCCCCTTGCCCTTTCCACTTCCTGGGCTGAAATGTGCCCCCATCTCCTCTTTCTCTTGTAGTTCAAGCACCCCACAGCTACCCCACTACCCCTTGATAGTCCATGACAGTCTTCCCATCCTCGTCCAGCTCAGATCTCCAAACTCCTCTACCTGTGTAAGGTGAGGAAAGTCACAGGTTCCAGGACAGGACATGGACATCAAAATGCCCCATTTGAAATAAAGACAGGATGTGATTGAGACCAGCTCAGCCTGTCTTCATTTGCTTTGATCATTATGGATTTGTTTTTTTTTTGTTTTTGTTTTTGCATTAAGGTTTATTTATTTTTGTCTTTTTTGTTTTTGTTGTTTTGAGACAGGGTCTATCTATCTACATAGCCCTGGCTGTCCTGGAACTCACTATGTAGATCAGGCTGGCCTCACAGAGATCTGTCCACCTCTACCTTCCGAGTGCTGGGTTTAAAGGCATGCACACCTTCTACCCACATCTGGCTCAAAGTGTGTTCTTAAAAATATTGCAATGGGTTGCGCATCTTGCTTGGTTCTTGGAGCAGCTCTAAAGTTTCCCTTGCTTCTTACCTCAAGGGAAACTAAACCTAAGCAAGTAAAGTGACGGTGGGTCCCTTGCACACCTGGTTTGAAGAGGCCCCCCCCCCCCCAGACTCGGGCTTCTTCCTCCTCCTCTATACCTCCATTTCTTCCTGCTCCGCTTCTGTCCCCTTGCCTCTTTGTGTAGGCTGACCCTGGGCACCACTCGGAAACATACGACTGTGGAATCTTCTAAAGCAGCAACCCCGAGAAGTTTGGCTTTGCAGGAAAACACTTTTGGAATCATCTGTCAGTTCTCAGCTAGGGGACCCCAGGCAAATCTCAAAACCATCCTGAGCCTCCACGGCCTCATGTAAAAATGAGTTAATTATCTTTTAGATCTGTTCAAGGAGATGAGGGCATATCTAGACCATTACCCCCACCCTAGGTGTAGGTACTGGTTTCAAGGAGGTCAGAGACCTGAAAAGCCTGGAGCGTGGAGCCCTCCCACCCTCCACGCCAGCCTTGCTTTAGGTCGGGCATTAATGCTGGGCTGTAAGGGTGATTCAGACCCAGTTGCCCAATCCTCTCTGGCCTCTCTTGCACCACCTGGCCTGCGTGGGTGCTCCAGAAGTGGGTCCCCAGCTAGGAGGAAGTGACCGCGCGGGGAGCTGCTGAGAACTCAGAGCGCCTGATACCGCGGCACAGAAAAGGGGTTACGCACCGGGAGCTCCCAGAGCGGGGAGCTGCCCGGCGGGAGGCATCTCAGGCACTCGATCCTCCCTCCCTCGCCTCGGGTCCGGCCCCGGGGCGGCTCTGGCCGGGCGGGCGGCGGGCAAGACGCTACCTGTGCGCGTGCCGGGCATTCCTGCCGCCGCCGCCGCGCCGCCGCGCTCGGGCGCGCCATGGGCCTGATGCCGGCTGCGCGGGCTTTCTCCAGCTGCCGCGCCTGCCCACGGCCGCCCTGCCGCCTGCCCGCCTGCTGCGCGCCCGCCGCCCCAGGTAGGGGCACGGGACGGGGTGCATGGCCCCGGGACGCGGGGCTCGGGTGGGAGAGTGGTAAGGTAGGGTGGCCGCAGGGGCCTGGGTCGGTACCGAGGGGCTGCGACGGTGTACGTGCGCGTGTGGGAAGAGGAACAGGGGACAACCCCCCTCCCCCCATCCATTCTGTCGGGGGTGAGAACTGTGTGGAGAGACGGGAAACTGAGTCTAGGAGTTTACAAAGATCTTCCCCATCCCCTACTGCTTAGAGACCTAGCCCGAGGTGCATCCAAGGCCAATTGGTGGCCTCTGGAAAGCCACGGTCCAGAGGAGGGAATCGGTTTACCTTGGGGACTGGCTGGCCTTGGGCAAACCTCTGCTTTAGGTCCTTAGCCTGTGGCGGTTTTCCAGCTATGCTGGGGGCAAGTTAGAAGGGGTTTTCATTCCCTTCCTAATCTGAGACTGTCTCAATAGGCAGAGCTTGAAGGAGGGACAGTTGGTGGTCCAATCAAAGGGAAAGTGGATATTCAAAGAGTTAGTGCATGGCAGGTTGCCGATGGGAATGCACCAAAGAGCAAGAAAAGCCAAGGGGGAAACTGTAGGTTTACCCAAAGTTTGCAAGCCTCTAGAGAATTTTCTCGTTGTGCCTCCCTCCCTGGCTGTGGCCCCCTCTTCACTGGGGAGGGCCAAAGGCAGATAGACCGTGGCCAGGCAGACAGACGGTGGCCAAGCCGACTTGCTGGCTCAGCTCTGGGACTAGATCCAGGAGGGAATCCCAGTGGCCTCCCATTCCCTGGCAGGAAGCCTCCCCCCACCCCCAGGGCTTCCCCTGAGGGTAAGGAGAAAACTACTAAGTTTTGGTACTGTCTTGGTACTGCAGTTCACCCGTGGACATAGCTGTAGGTCTTGGCAGGGAGGTTGAGGGCCGCTTCCAGGGTCTTCTAGAATGAGCTGTAAGCAGCGTCATCTGGGACTTGGGCTTTCCACTCCTGCTTGAGATTCGGAGATGTACTTACTCACTGGAGATGTGTAGGCCAGTCTAGAGGGGACAGCTGTCAAGGCAGAAGCTGCCGCTGCAGGTCCATCCTGAGGAAAGCCCCCTCCCAGTTGGCTCAGTGGGCACTTTGTGGAGAATGTGGGCCGGGACCTCTAGGAACCACTTACCGTCTACGTTTCCAGCAACATGACAAGCCTACCGGAAGTGGTTCTTGGCATATTTCCTCTCTTTGCCAGGAGGGCTTTGGGAGTTAAGCAGGTGGGGTCAGGACCCGCAGGGTCTGTCAGAGGGACTATGGCAAAGACAGCAGTGGGCAGGGCCACTGGGAAGAGAGGCTGCCCCAGGCCTGAATGTGGCTTGCCTACAGCAGGGGCAGCTAGCAAGGGAGACTGACGCTGAGCAGGAATGAGGTTTGGACTTTTTCTTTAAAGAGTCCAGTGGAGGAGGGGATGCTCTGGGAATGTGGGTCCACCTTGGGCCTCGGGACAGACGGTGAACACAGATGTTTCCTCACTCTGTAGATGGACACTGAGACCTGTAGTCTACTGGTTTAGCCAAATGTGTGCCCAGAACCTGTGTGTCTTTGGTCTTATTACTTGCCTGTCTGTGCCCTACCTCATGGCGTCTGGGTCCAATGCTCACATGACCTGCCCCTTGTCTCCTCTCCAGGCATACTTCCTCATTCCCACCCTCCAACACCAGGTGTCTTCCATCACAACTTCTGACCCCCTAGTCCCCTTCCACATACTCAATGTTTCCTCTGACACCTCCTTCCCCAGACCTCTTCTGTTTTGAAGTGCTGAGACCTTATAGCTTTCATGCTGCTAGATTGCTGCCCTATTTGGGGGCAGTGAATATTCAGGAAGTCTTCAGCGGGAGGCAGGAGTTGGGAGGGGCTGTCACAGACAGACCTGTCAGGACTGGGTGCTGTGTGGACAGATGGGCTTGTCTAGGTTTTGTGCCTAGGGGCTGGTGGAGGTCAGCAGGGTAGAGCTTGCCTGGTAGCCTGGCTAGTAGAGTGAAGACCATAGGGGCGGGCCGAGGTGGGGGCATGCTCTCAGCCCTGAGTGGCCCTGAGACTTTTTAGCACGGCAGCCCCCATGTGTCCACAAATTTTACTTTCCAGGTTTCCAGTGGCCACCTGCAGCCTGAAAATACTAAGTGGAAAATTCCAGAAGCAAACAACTCATGTTTTAAATTGTGGATTGTGATGAAACCTGGACCCTCCCACTCTACCCTGTCCAGGATGTGAATCATCTTTTGGGGTGTTTTTTCTCTTTATGTCACCTGCCTGTCAGATCAGCTGTCATGGTCTGCACTGCTGCTATTCACATAATCTTTATTTTATTCAACCGTGACCTCCAAGCCCAAGAGTAGTACTGGCAATCTGAGTAGCTGCTCTTTTAAGCGAAACTGTAAAAGTCCAAAAGATATGTTCAGAGATGGGGTATGGGGAACAGGGGCATCCACATAACTTTCCTTCTAGTGCGTTGTTAAAATTGTTCTGTCGCCAACTACTTAGTTAGGTCCAGAAGAGACAAAAGACTATGAGTACCTATTGGCATACAAAGCAGCGCCTGCTGGCCTCCAGGCTCCCTCAGCATCGCCAGTAGGCACCCAAGTTCTCACCCACCCTTGACCCTAAACTTCTCCAGCTCATGGCCTTCCCTCCCCCAGCTCCTCATTCCCTTACAACTCTATTTCGGTCACGCCCTTTCTTTGGCCCCTGCCCCTCCCTCTTAGTCTTCCCCTCCCACTCTCTTCTGCCTCCTCTCAAGGCCAGGTCCAGTCTGCTGGCTATTTTCAGCTCACTGCTTTCTCTCTCTGCTCTAGACTCTTCCAGGTGCCTCTGGCTGCCCTCTCCCTCATATCTACAATAAAAACCTTCCCCTCAACCATAGCTTGCAGCAGTCGTGTCCTCCTTAGGGGATGCTGTCGTCTGCAGCTTCACTGGGGATCTGGGGTTGCCTCCCCTGAGGACAGGAGGCCTTCTGTTCTTAGAACAGGGCCAGGCATGAGTACACAGTGAGAGGCAGATGGCTAGGGCACAGGGAGCAAGTTCGAGGCTGGTCGGAATCACCCGAGCTTTGAGAGTCTGTGGAGAGAATTTGGCATTTCTTGTGTCATCCTGACTGGCCTTCAGTCACTGGGAGCTGAGGCCAGGAGCTGAGTGTGGTGACTTGGGACAGGTGAAGGCATCACATTATGTTTGTCCTTTCTGCATTCTCACTCCTCCACCTCTGCCAGTGGCCCTGTAGAAAGGGGTGTGCCTTTACAATGCTATGAGCCTGGGGGATGGGAGAAGCCATGGGAATAGAAGGCCCTAACTATGCATGGGTGTAGAGGGATATTAGTATAAGATGTGTTACGTTCATTTATGCTGTGGAGTATTTGTTTAGTGTTGCATTCTTTTATGTTGCATTTGTTTAACTTTGTGAACAAAGCTGTCCTATGTTGCCTGCCTAAAACACCTGATTGGCCTAATAAAGAGCTGAATGGCCAGTAGCTAGGCAGGAGAGGGGTAGATGGAACTGCCAGGCAGAGAGAAATCTAGAGAGGGGGCGGGGGAATTGAGAAAAGGAGAAGGAGAGCAGGACACCAGGGGCCAGCCACACAGCCAGCCATGGAGTAAGAAGGAAAGACATACAGAATAAAGAAAGGTAAAAAGCCTAGAGGGAAAACATTAAAGAGTTAAAGAGAAATGGGATAATTTAAGTTAGAAAAGCTGGCTAGCAACAAGCCAAGCTAAGGCTGGGCATTCATTAATTAAGAATAAGTCTCCATGTATTTATTTTGGAGCTGGGCTCCCTAAGAGTAAAAACAAACAAACAAACAAATACCCCTAACTACACATGGGTGTGGCATAAACGCTGACATTGGAGAGTGGAGGAGTGAGTACAGCTGAATGAAAGGCCCATATGGGTGTTGGGGAGGAGGCAGGTGTCAGGACAAGCTAGCCCCTGCCCCGCTTGGGGACACTTTGTTCATGGGCCTCTTCCTCTGTGTGTTCTGTGCCGGCTCCTGTGAAGTAATGGTACTTGTGGTTACAGCAGACATGGCTTCCCTCTGTGGGCTGGGACCCCTTCCCCACTTACCCAGACTCTTGTGTCATTTGGGGAAGTCTGTCCTTACAAGCTTAGAGTAGAAGAGGCAAATAAATGCCTCAAAGCACCAAGCAGCCCGGCTGGAGTAGGGGGCAGCAGGAATACTGGCAGTGGGTCTCTGCCACTCTTGCCTCGTGGAAACAGGTCTGTGGCCACCATAAGCACAGGTATTTCAAGAGAAATTCAAGAGCTGGGGTGCGGTTTAGTGATAGAAAGCTTGTCTATGCTGTGCAGTGCACCTCAAAACAAAGAAGGAGGGAAAGAGGAAAAAAAGCTAATTTTAAAAATGTTTCCAATATGATAGGAAGTAAACCTGTGCATCCCAGGCCCTGAGTGTGGGTGACTGAGACCTGAGTGAGAGAAAAAGAACAGGGTCTCTGTGTCCTCAGACCAACCAGCTCGAAGCCAAAGGCTAGGACACTGTTAGACGCGACTCAAGGCCTCCCGAGTCTGACCTGCTTTGAGCTGCCCAAGTATTCAGCTTGTCCCTGGGCTCCAGGCTCTGAGCCTTCCCCGTGGTCAGGGGACTAGCTCGCCAAACCCCAGAAGAGGCAGGTTTCCCTCTTTTCCAGCATCACTTCTGTGACCCGGATGATCTCTGTCCATGGGACCTGCTGCTGGGTGTTTCCGTCTCTATCCCAAAGTGCATGGTGGTGGCAGAAGAGCTGGAATGTTTGCTGCACCCAGAGCCACACCGAATGGGCTGCACTTGGACCCTGCCACAGGCGCACACAAGCTAATATGCCCACATGCACAAACAAAAGCCCAAACTTCCTGTGTACAGGACACGTACCTTTTCCTAAGAATTGATGGCATCCGCCTGATGTGTCCTGAGGGTTTCCCCAGAGAAGGCGTGCAGGGGAGGGGGCATTTTCCTCCTCTGTTCTGTATGCTTTGTTTCCAGATCGTCTAGTGTAAGGAGCAGCATTTGCAGTACCATTCTGTGAGCTCTCTAGGGACAGATGTATCTTTATTTACTTCTAATGTTTGGAATGGAATGGAGGGCCTCATGAATGCTGGGCAAAGGCTTTACTACCAAGCCACACTCAGCCCAGGGACTGATATGTCTTATTTCTAAGCTGTCCTGGAATGGGGAGCAAAGTTGGTTGCCAAACAGGTACTTGAACTGGGCTGACCCATGATCCAGGTCCCACAAAACTATAACCCTTAACACAGTGGAGCTCTGACCCAGTACCCCTCATATGCCCCAAAGGCCATCCTTCAGAGTAAGTTGGCTCAGTGAGGATGTGAGTAACACTTGATAGTCTAAAGACCAGCCCTCCTAGAGCAGTGGTTCTCAACCTGTGGGTCACAACCCCTTTGGGAGTCAAATGACTCTTTCACAGGGGTCATATATCAGATGTTTACATTATGATTTATAACAGTAGCAAAATTACAGTTATGAAGTAGCAACAAAAATAATTTCATGGTTGGGGAGTCACCATGACATGAAGAACTATATTAAAGGAAGTTTGAGGACCCCTGGCATATTGCTTAAGGCTGCTGTGATGGGCTGCTTTCCCATCAGGAAGAGAGATTTATGGGCTACCAGGGAACTCCTTGTTGTGTTGTATATCGAATTATCAGTGTGAGCCAGAAATTCCACGGGCTTCCTCTCTCCTTCCGTTCTTCTAACCCACAGATGCTGTCTGGTCTTGGTTAGATATGTGGATTCTTTTCTTTCTGATGTTTTGTTTTTTGTTTGTTTGTTTTTTCTTTCTCTCGAATGTTTTTGAGCTATGGCATATTGAAAAGTGTACAGATCATCTAGGTCCCGTTCAGTGGCCTTGCTTTATTTGTGTGTGTGACTGGGTTAGTGTCAGGTTGGGACCTAGGAGTGCTGTCACCCCAGAAGCCTGAGACACGTCTGCTCACCGAGCCACTAAGAGCCAAGTTCTGGCCTGAAATCACCCTCACTTTGATTTGTTTGTGGTGTCGCATGAATGAAGTTACACAGTGTGGACTCAGGAGCTCATTTATTTTGCTTACGGTTATGGTTTTGGGTTTTGTTCTTAAGAATTTTCATAAAATACACCGACTTTCCCATCTGCTTCACCTGTCTTTTAAAGCTCAGTAGCATTAGCCTTCCGATGGTGGTGGAACCATCCTCCTAAAGCTGGACCTCCCCCTCCGCCCGCCCCCAGCACCACCATCCCACTTCCTGTCTCTTGAATGTGACAGTGTAGGAATCTCTTACAAGTGCAGTCACACAGCTTTTGTCCCCTTGTGAGTGCCTTATTTTGCATAGTGTCTTCTGGATTCTGTGAGGATTTCCTGGCTTTGTAAGGCAGAGCCAGGTCTCATTGTGCAGGTACAGCCACTGTGCGTACTGATGGACAACTGAGTGCTTCCTGCATTGCACGCGCGTACACACACACACACACACACACACATCACATCACATCACACCCCACTTTCAGTTCAGTTCTTTTCCCATGTCTAACCAGAGTTGGAATTGCTCGCACAGTAATTCAGGTCCTTGAAAGACACCCCACACTGCACGTATGTTCCAGCGGCACCATCTCCTGTCCCCTCTAGTGGTGCACAGTGCTTCATCGCTCTACCCCGAGCAGTGCATAGAATGTCTGTTCCTCTACCTCTACCCCAGTTTCTCTACTTTAGACAGTAGCATCTGAGCGATGGGAGGTATCTTGTGTGTGGTTTTTCTTGTTCTCTCTCTGGTGTGTGTGTGTGTGTGTGTGTGTGTGTGTGTGTGTGTGTGTGTTAGTACATATGTGAGGCCAGATATCATCTTTGGTTGTCTTTTCTTGTTGGGGACAGGGTTTCTTGTTCGCTGCTGTGTATGCTAGGCTAGCTGGCCAGTGAGTTTTCAGGGATCCCCCTACCTCACAGTAGGATCACTGGGATTACACATGTGTGCTACTGTGTCCAGCTTTACGCGGATCTGAACTAAGGTCCTCCCATTTATGTGCTGAGGGCTTTACCCACTGAATTGAGCTAGCTCCCCAGTGCTCATTGCATCATTGTGAATGTTGAATGGGGTGATGTTTTTCACATCAGTGTGTGAACAGCCTTGTCCTGTGAGCTGTACCTCTTGCCTCCCATTTGCAGCAGTGCCCAGGGGACCAACCCATGAGGGATCTGCTCATTTTCTTGTGCCTGGGAATGGCATAGTTTTGCATCTGGAGTGCCTTCCAAATCCATAAACACAATGCAAGCAAATGCTCCCTGAGGGCCTTTTCCTCCTGGCTTGGGCAAGCTCCACAGGCCAGGCTAGCCACACACCTACTGCTGCTCTAATAGCCCTGACTAGCCACCTGGGTGTGCCCTCCTAGTATCTAATAGGTTTCCTTAGGAAGAGCCTCTTTTGGCACACACAGCATTCTCTGCCATCCATTGTCCCAGACACCCTTCATCCATCATCGGGCAGAGCAGCAGGGGAGTATGAACAGTCCATTTGTGTGTCCAGGGATCTTTGGGCAGCGGCTGGAGGACACAGTGCACCATGAGCGGAAGTATGGTCCCCGTCTGGCACCTCTTCTGGTGGAGCAGTGTGTGGACTTCATCCGGGAGCGAGGACTCAGTGAAGAGGGGCTCTTCCGTATGCCTGGCCAGGCCAACCTGGTGAGGGACCTGCAGGATTCCTTCGACTGTGGGGAGAAGCCACTGTTTGACAGGTGAGCCCTGGGGGACAGGGCAGTTATAAGGAGAATTCTTAATTGGTCTAGATAGTAAAAAGCCGGAGTCAGATCTAGAGGAAAATGCTGAGAGACCAGAGAGAAGGAGCAAGCCACTGTCACACCTTACCTCCTTAGCGTCTCAGAGGACAAGAGAGCGAGTTCCTGTTTCTCCCTGATTATATCCTGTTTCTGCCCAGCTACCTCACTTCCTGTCAGCTTGTACAGACCTCCAAACCTCTGTGGTTAGCTAGTGGCAAGCTCCATTCTCTGACCTTCAGATGGGCTTTATTTGTACAAGCGAGACGTCACCACAGGCAATAAAGGTGGGACAAGTTGCTGAGCCTCCTGTAGTTTCTCCCGACACCAGCTTCTCTGAGTGTTGCCTGTGTGTTGTCTGCCCATATGACTCATGCACGTTTAGCCAGTCAGCTCGGAGGGCAGAGTGCCAGGGCTCAGAATCACCCTGGTCTTCTTGAGGTTGTCTGCCACAAACAAGGTCAGCCATGTGGTAGTTTCCACAGATCTTCACTGTGGGCAGGAAGAGGGGAAAAGGCCTCAGCTAGTTGCCAGGGCAGCCTGGCTTAGGCACAGCTGCACCTAGGATCCCAGGCTTACTGCAGTACGCCTCTTAGCTCTGCCTCCTCTCAGTGACCCAACCCAGCCTTCCTTAACGGTAGGATGGCAGCTGAGTTCCATCTCCGTCAGGGTTTGGGACAGGAAGACAGTCGCTCCTTCCCTCCTTGGGTCTGTTCTCCTCACTGAGGCTTTCCCACAGCTGGGAGAAGACAACTACATCCACTGCCCAGAGCCTGAGAGTCGGGGAGTGGGGCTTGCCTCTCTGCCTTGGGTTGTGAGGGCTCACTTCTCTCTGCCAGGTCCCACTTGGTACAGACCAGTTTTGCATAGAGTTCTTGTATCAATAGTCAAACCAAACCACATGTTCGTAAAGCTGCCCTTTCTGACATCTCCTCTCAGACACAGGACAAGCCTGTGGTGCCCACAGCCCTGGGCTTCCTTGGTCTTACAGACTGTGACACTCATCTGTCCAACTTTTTCTCACACCCATGGCCATGGCCATAGCCTTGCGGCTTCTTTCCTTAGCTGTAGTGCCCAGGACTAAGTACTGGGCATGGAAGTGTCTTTACCCGGAGCCTTGTGAAGCCCTGTCCTCTGACAGACAGCCCTCATTACTCCTGTAGGCACCAAGGTTAGAAACTGCTTCAAACAAATGCTGCCTTGGTAGGAACTGGGACCAGTGGCTTGTAGAAATGGCCCAGGGTCAGACACACTGCTGCAGTGTCAGATGACACTGGAAGGGTGTCAGACCTAACACTACCATATTCAAACTCACTGAGGTCTCCGGGCAAGCCTTCTGGCCCAAGCCACCCTCCAGTGTCATCGTCCTGTCATGCTTCCTGCTTTAGTGTATGATGCCAGCTGGGCCCATTTTGCTTCCTGTTCCTGAGTTCAGCTCCATGTACCTACAACTCAGGTTGGCAGCGTGACAAGGCCCTTCCTCCAGGCTGTGGCTCCTGGCTGCCTTCCATCACGGTACCTTTCTTCCTGGGGCTTTAACAGTCCCTTCTCCCAGATGGCTTCTCAGCAGTGACTCTCCAGCAGGGGCAGGGCTGACGCTCTACATTTCTGAGACCCTTCTCTTCCCATTTCTGCTATTCCTAAGGCAACTGTGTCCAACAACTCACAGGGTCCCGGGGCTCTGCTGCCTTGTCCCTGTTCACAGTGTGCTCTGGGGCTCTGTTCCCCTCAGCTCACTCACAGGGACTCCTTAGGGCTTTACTGCCCCTGACTCATAAAGGCCCAAGGGCTGTGCTCGCCTCTGCTCACTGTGAGTACTGGAGCTCTACTCCCTACAACCCACTCACAGGGAGTCCTCCTTCCACCACCCAGCTGGCCTTGCATGATGGGGCTCCCTTCTCCAGACTTAATGTGCCTTGTGCTGGAGCCCCCCTTGCACTAACCTGCCTGTAGGCATTGCTTCTGGCCTTGGTTTTCCCCTACACACAGCTCCTTTTCATCTGCCTACTCATTCTCCATAGGAACATTCTCTCAGCCCCAGGTGTGTGTGTGTGTGTGTGTGTGTGTGTGTGTGTGTGAGAGAGAGAGAGAGAGAGAGAGAGAGAGAGAGAGAGAGAGAGAGAGTTCTCCAAAATTGGAGAAAGTAAGAGGCAAAGCCTTAATTCTGGATGGACAGTGTTGTTGGCATGGGCAAGAGAGGATGGGAAGGTGCAGCCGAGACAGCTGATTTGACCAGAGCAGTCTGCTGACCCACTGGGCCCTCTGTGGCCTTACCTCAGCCCACCAGCTGCATGTAGCATGTACGGTGAGACCACCAGACTGAGGGGGCCGGGCATCACCCCGGAATGCTGTCACTGGGGCTGGTAGGAATGTGACGGGGGTGCAGTGTATTCACATTGTTATAGGAAGGGAATTCAGGGACACTGGAGCCAAGTGTTAAAGAAAATATGAGCAGTGAGTGGTGATGGGAGGCTGCAGAGGGAGGCACGAGACAACGTGGGGGGGGGTGAGAGGCGGTGGGCATGGGTACAGCTGAGCGGCACGTGTCTGGGCAATGGGTCGTGTGGGAGGGGGTTTTGAGGAGGAGGAATGCAGACAGGAAGGTCTGTGGACTGGAGAGGGTTACCATGTACCTAGCCCCTCTTCCTGTCTCTCTCAGGCAGCAGCAGCTGCTAACCCTGGAGAGTACCATTTGGGATGGGCACTGGCCTCCAGTGTGGATAGAGAAAGTGGCCCAGAAGGCAGTGGGCAGTGAGCAGCAGCATGCTTGGCTTGAGATGGGAGGTTGGGGACAAGCCCATATGGGTGGATCTTGGACGTGTGTGGTTATACAGAAGTCCGTAATCTCAAATGTCAATGTCAAAAGGCCCCTAAGTGCCACCTTATTAGCATAGCCAAGGTCTGCTGGCCCCAGCCATCTTCAAGTGTCTCCTATGAGGAACTTTAAGCTAGGGATTAAAGCCAGGGGCTAGTTAAGTCTCCTGGGACTTGCTTGGAAGAGGAGCCAGCTGTGGCCATAACTGCCCCACAGCACCCAGGTAGATAAAAAGAGAGAAAGCGAGCCTGACCTGGGAATACACCCCCCCACCTGACCTGGGAATACACCCCCCCCACCTGACCTGGGAATACACCCCCCCCACCTGACCTGGGAATACACCCCCCCACCTGACCTGGGAATACACCCCCCCACCTGACCTGGGAATACACCCCCCTACCTGACCTGGGAATACACCCCCCCCACCTGACCTGGGAATACACCCCCCCACCTGACCTGGGAATACACCCCCCCACCTGACCTGGGAATACACCCCCCACCTGACCTGGGAATACACCCCCCCCCCTGACCTAGGAATACACCCCCCCCACCTGACCTGGGAATACATCCCCTCCCCCCCACCCCCCCCACCCCCCGCCACTTCAGCCTAGGCGTCTCCGAGTCTGTAGTGGAGACTAAGTCCTGTTGTGGACCTCCAAGTCCCTAGAGATGGAGTGAGGAGCTGAGACCAGAGGCAAGGACCTGACCTCTCACCTGTCCAGCCAGGGTTCAGATCCCTGCTCTCTGCAGGAAGGTCAGCCCTGGTGGGCTCCCTCTGATACAGATTCCCCAATTCAGCCAAGGTTCACTAAGCACGCTCAAGCAAAGGCTTGGCTGTACCCCATGAGAGCTTCCTGTGAGCTGATCTGGGCCACAGGTAGCTTCTTCCACCCTGAGCAACTGTCGTGAGTGTAACAGCCATGCCCTGTGGCTTCTGCAGCAGAGCATCTCCCAAGTCCCACACTGTGAACACGAAAGGGAGTTCAGCTCACCCCTCAGACACTAGACGAGATTCTGAGCCAGTGGCGTGGGCTGATGACTAGACCAGAGCTTCTGATCTCTCTGTCACCCTCCCCACAGGGGCCTTGCCTCCTGTGCTTACAACCAGCCCGGGTCTGACCTTGACCAGGAGCCGCTGGCTTCAGAGGAGCCTGGTTGTATGCACACAAGTCGACCTGGGACCAGGACCTGTCCTGGCCTCATGTGAGGTACAGTGTATGTTAGCCCTGCAGCTGCCGGAGGTCCCCTCACTCACGTCCATCCCCTCCCCCTTTCATCCCAGCACCACAGACGTGCACACAGTAGCCTCCCTGCTGAAGCTCTACCTTCGGGAGCTCCCAGAGCCCGTCATCCCTTTCGCCAGGTATGAGGACTTCCTCAGCTGCGCCCAGCTGCTCACCAAGGACGAGGGGGAGGTCAGTGCCTCCCGGGACACATCCTTGGGGGTTGGATGGGGGGTAGTAGGCTGTGGCACATAGGTCCCGGCTGGAAGGCTGCTGTGTCGGGGAAGAGGGCAGTCTGTTTATTTATCATGGAAGTAGAAGAGGGTGTGGGGGTGGGATGTGGGTCCCTCTTAACACAGGGCACCCAGTTCTGGCCACCTCACTGTGGGTGCTGCTGTTCCACCATTGTCTCCCACTGCCAAGGCGCAGGAGCCCTGCCGATTTTATGAGACAGCTCCCAGGACGGCTACGGCCCCCTCCCCTCCACCCTCTGTGCCCCTAGCCATGCTGGAGCTCTCGGCAGCTCTGAGCTGCAGCAGAGGAAAGACTGTTTGCCTTCGCTGACTGTGTGGGGGTGAGCCTTGTTATCTGGCAAATATTTGTGCCCTGATAAGTGAGCTGAGACATTCCTCTGTGTCCTTGCAGAGGCTCACCCCTCACTCCAGCTCCCAGAAATGAAATCAGTCTCCTCAAGAGGTCGCAGCCACACTTGGGAGGGACAGAGGTCGTCAGCTGTGGCTGGCCACGCACCCCTCCCTCTTCCTGTCCTGTCTTCCTCCAGTCAGAGGAGGCCTCACTGCTGGTGTTTGAAACTCTATGTTCTCTTTCCTTCACCAGGGGACTCTGGAGTTGGCTAAACAAGTGAGCAACCTTCCTCAGGCCAACTACAACCTGCTCAGATACATCTGCAGGTAAGTAGCCTGTGGGGGGCGGGGCCGCTCTGGCTCCAGCTCATTCCTTCCGCCCTGGAGAGACAAAACTGGAGAGGGTCCGTTCACCCTCTCAGCACTGCCTCACCAAGTGTTGGGATGGCAAGGAGTGTGGAAGAACCCATTGCTGCAGGAGGTAGGCAGGTGGTGAATCATTTCAGAAAGAACCTGGCAGCCATGGAAAGCCTGGGAGGCCTGGCTGAGTGTGGGGATGGGGGAGGGGCAGAGGGTGTGGCTGGAGGGCGCGACTATATGAAGGTGCCGGTTGGGTGGTTATGGATATGACTGGGTATTGGATGGGGTGGGTTGTGTGTGGATATGGCTGGGCTTTGGTTGTTCATAGCTGTGACAGATGGCACTTGGAAGCATAGGTGTGCAAGGTGTGGTAGGGTGGACATGTGGGCGGACGGGCATGCAGTATGGCGGGAGGCTGGCCTGTGTGGGGTGGGCAGCATTGGCGTGGAATGGTGGGTAGATTTGAGGGGCGTGGCTAGGAGCTGTAGTGTGGTAGGTGGCTAGGTGGTGCATAGTGGAAGAGATGAACTAGGTGTGGGGTGGGCTCGGCGGGGTGTGGCACGGTGGGTGTGGCCAGGCAGGGCTTAGAGCTAGCTCACAGTAGATTGGAGTTCAGAATTGGCTGTCTTTCCTATTGCTCCTTTTCTCTTTTGCAGGTTTCTGGATGAAGTGCAGGCCCACTCAAATGTCAACAAGATGAGCGTCCAGAACTTGGCAACAGTCTTTGGCCCTAACATCCTTCGGCCACAGATAGAGGATCCAGTGACCATCATGGAAGGTAAGAGGGAGGTGCTTGGCAGAACCCTAAGCTGGGGGAATTTGGGCTTGTGTTAGTCGCCACCACATCCTTTGAGCCAGCTCAGGGCCAGGCCAAGGGACAATAGCTGTCCTGTCTCCATCTTCAGGGACATGGCCTCCTTCCCTCTGTCCATCCCCTTGTAGTTAATAGCAGCTGGTTATCGGAAACAATTAAAAGGACCAGTGATTAGAGAGGGCAGAGTAGCTGAGAAGCAGGAGTCCTTGAACCCACACAGATGTTTTCTGCTTACCGTCACAGTGAAGTGATTGTTATAGGTTCCTGGAGGATAGACCTGTACGAGCACCAGGGAATTTTTCTTTTGCCATGTCATAATAAAATGATGCTTTCAACGAGCAACATGGCGGGAGAACCGCTTAAGTCCAGGAATGTGAGGCCAGCAGGGACAACAAGGGTGGTGGACTCAGGAAAAGAGGTGAGAGGTACTAAATAGCCTCCACTGTGCAATTCCCCTGCACCGTTCAGTTGCAGTCCTCACACGGCCTATTGTAATGAGTGCCCTTAGGTTCCAGACGATGAAACAGAGGCCAGGTAAGGTGAGATGACTCAGCAGGGGCCTGTCAGCCAAGCTTGCATAGGGCCCTGGTAGGGAGGCCAGTGTGTGAACAAGATTCTGAATGCACAAACCTTTGGGAAGACTGTCCCCAACAGAGCCAGTGGAAGAACCTTGCTGCCCAGCATGTTCACATCTAGTTGGTGGGGACACTTCCAAAGTACTGGTTTAGGACTGAGGGCATGGGCCCCAACTTGGATGCCAGCAGCAGTCCCACAGCCTAGATTTGTGGCTGAGAAGTACCTCATGTGATTTCTCCTGGATCACTAGCTTTCCGTGGGGGAGTCCACACAGGCCATGCTCTCTCTCATCCTCAGTGAACCTCCCAGCTCTGGTATTTGGCTGTGGGTGGTTGGAGGGAGCATCTCTGTAGAGTAGACACTGTTGACCTTTGGATGACCCTATCTTTACTGCTGAGCCCCATACCACCACCACCGGAGCCAAGCTCCCGGATTTGGAGCCTTGCATGTCATGGATGATGGAGAGGTTGGGTGGCTAACATACATGTGCACTTACATGTATACATATCTCCATGGCTCTGTGGATAAATGCATTTGCTGTCCTTGCAGCAGATGACTCAGGTTTGGTTGCCAGCACCCACATGGCAGCTCCCAACAGCTTGTAGCTCTGGTTGAAGGGCCTCTGACATTGACTTCTAACCTCCACAGGCACTCAGGTGGTGCACATAAACACATGCAGGCAAATGCTCACACGCACAAAATCAGTATGCTTTAAAAGATTTACTTACTTCCTTTTTATGTGTATCAGTGTTGTCTGCATCTATGTCTGTGCACCAAGTGCATGCCTGGTGCCTGCTGAGGTCAGAAGAGGATATTGGATCCCTAGGAATCGAGTTATAGATGGCTGTGAGCCACTCTCTGGGTGCTGGGAATTGAACCCAGGTCCTCTGCAAGAACAAAAAGTGCTAACTGCCAAACCATCTCTCCAGTCCCAAAATGGTAATTTTTAAAAAAGGATGTATACAGGTGGGTGCATGTGTGTGTGTGTGTGTGTGTGCGTGCACGCGCGCGTGTGTGTACCCTATTCCAGAGCCCCATATCCTCAGAGTGTCTTCATAAGGTACAGCCAGCAGCAGCAATAGCATAAGAGAGGCAGGTTGTTGATGTGCTCTGACCTGACCTACTAGCTTCTGTTTCCAGTTCCATCCTCCCACCCATCATCCTGTGGCCTTGATGAACTTCGTGTCTGCATGGTATCTACCTCTCCTAGAAGGGTAGATGTAAGGAGTATGGGTTTTTCTGCCCGCTGCCACACCAGCCCCAAATAATATATAGACTCTGTATTTGATACAATGTTGTTGGCCCAGTTACTTGTTTCTTATCGGCTAGCTCTGTCTTAAGTATTAACCCATTTGTGTTAATCTATGTATTTCCATGTGGTCTTCTTACCGGGAGCCGGCTGCCGCATACAGCTCTCTCCAGACTCTCCATCTTTACTCCTCCTTACTACTTTTTATTTCCTCCTAGTCTCCTAGTCCCTCCTATCTTCCTTTCCTATTGGCCAACAGTGCTTTATTTATTAACCAGTATGAGAAACATATACAGAATGACATCTCCCATCAGGTAGACCTATGGGTGCTCCGTGCTCAGGGGATTTGTGGGCACAGTTCTGTGCCTGGTTCTAGCTGCTGAGACAGCCCTCTTTCAGACACAGGTGAAGGTACCCTGCAGACACAGGCATCCAACCACCAAGCTGTAGCTGACCACAAGTGTGTTAGAGGCGTGGGCTGGGCCTCTCACTGCCGACCTCTCGTCCCTCTGTCTCATAGGCACTTCCTTGGTCCAGCATCTGATGACTGTCCTCATCCGCAAACACGGACAGCTCTTTGCCGCAAGCTCCCTTGAAGAAACTGGTTCCCCACCTGGTACTGTCCAGGGCACGGTAGAGTGGGGCTCCGAAGAGGTCACCAGTGACCACCAGGGTGAGCCTGGCAGTTCTGGCTTGCCCACACACAGGACCTCATCTCTCGATGGGCCAGCCGCAGCGCTGCTCTCTAGAACTTCTCCCCAGCACCTTGGCAGCCAGACTGGCCCTGCAGCCACCAGCCCCGGGAAGAGGATGCATACTCTGCCTGGCTGGAAGCCCTCCTTCCGGCAGGGGTCCCGGTCAGAGAGCCCAAAGGGGGGCAGCTCGTCCTTAGAGGTACCCATCATCTCTGGTGGGAACTGGCTTATAAATGGGCTATCCTCTCTGCGCGGCCACCGTCGGGCCTCGTCAGGGGACCGGCTGAAGGATACAGGCTCAGCACAGAGACTGTCCACCTATGACAATGTGCCTCCATCCAGCCACTTTCCCAGCACTGCCAGCATGGCCAGCATGTCATGGTCTGTAGCCTCATCGTCCCAAGAGGTCTCTGTTAGCAGCTGCACAGCCTGCCGGGCCAGCGACTCTTCTGCCTGCAGCTCCTTACACACTGAATGGGCTCTTGAGTCCACTCCCCTCCCCAGTAGCAGTGAGGAGCACAGGTCACCAGACCTGGGCCACAGCCTGGATGAGGCATGCGTGGGCAGTGGCAGCAGTGAGCCCAATGACCCTGGCAGCCCTACACAGGCTCATGTCCATCGGTGCCGGGCTCTCCAGGGCCAAGTGGCTGAGCTCAGGGCAGAGCTGTGTCAACAGAGGACTGAGTACGAGAGGAGCCTGAAGAGGTAAGGGCCAGGCTTATGCTGGCTCCTGAGAAAGCTGCAAGGGGCAGGACTCAGAGCAGCCAGCCTCCAGGCTGTCTTCCTTGGAAAATGCCCCTAGCGTGTTCAGGCTTGGGAGTGGGTCAGCCAGCAGGCCTCCACCAATGCCCACCAAGGGCATCAGGACAAGCGGGGAATGTCAGTTGGTCTGTAGAACAGGAGTCAGGAGCTATGTGGCTCTCCAGGATGCAGTGGGTGAGAACAGAGCCTTCAATCACTGGAAGTGGCTGCAGAGAGGGCTGCCCAGTGTGCAAAGTGGCTTACTTCTGGTGATGCTGGCAAACCTTGATGTCTCTGTTCCCTTCCTCTATTCCCTCTCTGGGAATAAGGGGGGGCACATTGGAGGCCCTTGTGATACTTGGACAGAGTGGTCTGGGCTGCTTGGAAGGAGTTTGTGAGGGTGGTCTGCAGCACAGGAAGGAAGGGAACATCGCCCTGTGTCCCATTCAGCAGGCTTTTGGGAATGTGCCTCTGTTGGCATACACGGAGCCCCATTCTGCCTCCTGTAACCCAGTCTCTGCCGTTCCAGTATTTACCCAAGAGAAACTTTTATCTGTGAAATACAGATATTGCTCTGGATGCTGGGAACACAGTTATAGCCTCATCAGAATCCCTTGCCTCACTGATATTTGGGGGCGTCAGGATGAGACCATGTACAAAATTCATCAGAAATATATGGCATGCTAAGAAGCTGATAGAGGACAATAAAACTGGGGAGGAAAGGGGACCTCAGAGAGGGTAAGAAGACTTGTGGTTAGGGGGAGCCCGCCTTGAGCCAGGCAGTAGGACAGGGGCCTTTAACCAGGGCGATGCTTGGTATTTTTTTTTTTTTTTAAGTCATGACATTTTCTTTTTTTAAATTTTCTTCTTTTTCATTTTTTATTTAAATTTGAAACTAGATTGTTTTACATGCCAAATACAGTTCCCTCACCCTCCCATCCTCTCCTATTACCCCCACCAAACCCCATCCCATCCCCTTTCTGCTCCCCAGGGAGGGTGAGGCCTTCCATGGGAAGTCTTCAAAGTCTGTCGCATCATTTGGGGCAGGGCCTAGGTCCTCTCCCATGTGTCTAGGCTGAGAGAGTGTCCCTCTATGTGGGATGGGCTCCCAAAGTCCATTTGTATACTAGAGATAAATACTGATCCATTACTGGAGGCCCCATGATGCTTGGTTTTATTGAGAAGGCAGTGAGTATGAAGAAATTAAGGGACTGCCTCAGGGACTTTGGCTCGTTTGATTGGTAGGAAAGTTTCCTGGAGGCCCATGGGGGTGACATAGACCTCAGGCAATAGCAGAGCAGGGAGAAACAGGAATCTTTGGCACATGTCCTGAGGATGGATTGGATGGGCCTTGCTCACTGATGGGTGGGAAGAGCTCATCTGGCATGAAAGTTTTAAAGTTGAAGGGAGGAGCTATAAGCAGGTGCTCTTTGGGTCAGAGAACTAGATAGGATGGGGCATGGCGGACACACTGTTTGGCCCGTGCTTTGCTGCATGCATATTGTCCCTGTGTGGTGCTCTGGGGAGTATGGCGGGGTCACCTCTGAAATGCAGAGGATGCTAGCCCCAGTGTCATCTTCTTGTCAGTGCCATGGAGCTCAGACAGTTGTGTAGACTCTGACATTGCTAGATTTGCAGTGTGGTCATGGGAGGTGACCCCAAGGAGGACATGAAGGCCAGATAGGAATTTCTTCTGGATTTATGTTCCTCCAGAGCACTGCATAGACAGGAGCAGGAAGTGTGGGTAAGAGTATAGGAAGAAAGGTCAGCGGACCTCTGCTCCTTACTAGTGGCAGGTGATCCTCACCAGGACAATTGACAGGGCTGGAGGGACAAAAGGCTGCATTTAGTGAGGGTTCAGGGATACCAGGAGTCCCAGTGCTAAGGCAGGAATCCTTAGGGCAGCCTTTCCAGTAGGAAACCATCACTGGCTTGCAGGAGTGGGCAAGGCTGTGGGATCCCTCCCAGAAGACACCTGTCCACCTCCCTGCCTCAGTGAGACCCACTCCTGCTGTGACAATGCTCCCGGTAGCAGGAGTCTGAAACTCCATCTTCTTGATTTTTAAAGCATCGAGGAGGGCAGTGCTGACTTGCGAAAGCAGATGTCTCGGCTGGAAGAGGAGCTGGACCAGGAGAGGAAGAGGTACGCCATGCTGGAGATAAAGCTGCGGAACTCGGAGCGGGCACGTGAGGATGCAGAGCGCAGGAACCAGCTGCTGCAGAGGGAGATGGAAGAGTTCTTTGCCACCCTGGGAAGCTTGACTGTTGGGACCAAAGGGACCAGAGCTCCAGAGTGAAAGGAGCAGAAATACATGTCTGTATATGTCTGTTCACTCTCCCTGCAGGGCTGGCCACAGTCTGCAGAGGAAGCCAGAAACTTCAAGTTTGGGTCAGGCCACCAGCAGGATCATCTGCCCCCAAGCGCCACATAGAAAGAGCCTGACGTCCCCACGGGGACTGTCGGGATCCCACGTAGTCCAGGCAGGAACTGGATGCTTCTCCAAACCTATGGTGTCAGAGCGGACGGTGCCAAGATAAACAGTAGCCTCTTATCCATTAAAAGTCCCCAGTGGCCAGCCAAAAGGATGGCACCTAAGAGCAGGGCCACCGCCAAGAACTTCACTCTTTATTAAATGCTCTCTGAAAGCATGGCACTTGTCACCAGACTCATTCTTCATGTCTGTGCCAAGTGGAGTTTACCAAATGATACATTTCTTGAAAGGTTGAGCATCCCCCGGGTGAAGCTCCCTGAGGGTCCCAGCACTGTGGTTTCTTCATCTTTAGCCTCTGGAGACTTCTTGCCCTGCCAGCCCTCTGGGCTGCCCTGTGTAGCCTGGGCTTCAGCTCTGCTCTCCAGGGCAGGCTGGGCCGGCAGGAAAGTAGAGCTGGTAGGTCTTCCGGGTGTCTCCCACTTTATACCTGGCCTGGCCCACCTTCCAGATCTGGGAGTGAGAGGGGCCATTTAATTTCTGTCTTCCCATTCCTTACATGCTCAGGCCTCAAGTGTCCCCCTGTCCCATCCCAGGCCTACAGGCAGCTCAAATGTATTCCGGTAGCTGCAACAAGATCCAGAAACTGTTTAGGAAGGCCCTTAGCTGGTGTGCCATGAGAGCAGATCTAGCCATGAGAGCAGATCTAGCTAGAGCAATGGGAACCTGAGACCGCTGGTCACATAGCCACTAGCCCATGGGCCTTCCTCTGGGAACATTCTCGAATGCCCAGAGGTCTCTCTCTTGTTTCTAAATCCAATCAAGCAGACAATAAAAAGTGACCATCACACAGGCCTGGCTGGGAGAGGACTGGCTTCACACACGGTGCTGTCACTGCTTCATCTCAGTGTCATCGCATGTGTGGCCTCGTTTCCTCCTTAAGCAGTAACCTATGGGGACTGGTGTGTGTGTGTGTGTGGGGGGGGAATGGGGGAAGGCTAAAGAGGTCATCAGAGTAGTCCAGCTTCTGATTACCACGTGGAAAGATCATAAGCCCTACTGTCCACCTGTCTGATCTCGGGTATCACATCTGACAAGACCTGGTCAGTAGAATGGCCAGGGTCACAGTGCCACTGGTTAGCCATGGCTACCAATGCAAGGCCATATGCTCCCACTCCAACCCCAGTGGTAAGGCAGACTGACATCTGACCTCTCAAATTAATACAACTAGGATGCCTGCCAAGGACCCTGTTAGCGTCAGAGGTCAGGGTCAGTGTCCCTGGGAGTGCCAGGGGGCCAGTGGAGATGTTGGTCTATGCAATGTTGTGCTGCTGCTGTGGCCAGCCTGTATGCCTTCCCCAAAGGTAAAACACCGCCTTCCCCTGTATTCCGATAGCAAAGGCTGAAGTGACTTCGATTCCTCAGAGATTCCCACATGACAATATAGAGATTGGTCCTTATCGCCTCCAAGGGAGGGGAAACAGCCTGAGAAGTTAGGTGGGACCACCAGTGCATTCCCATGATCCCGCTGTGTTCCCTCACCGCTGCCGTACAATTCTACTGAATTCATCTGAAGGGAAAAATGCACCAGCTCATCAGAGCTTCCAGGACCAGTCCCGGGAGGAAAGGCATTCAAATCACAGCAAAGGCCTGCCAGCCCAACAGGCAAGACCATTCACAAGCCAAGGCTGCCACCTGCTGGCAGGATGGATCTAGGCAGTACAACCTTTAGGGAAGACTTAGTACACAGCTCTACTTCGCCTATGTAATGCACACTCCTGCAGAATAACCTCACTCAATATTTAAGTCAAACAGTGAATTGTAAGCATGAGCAGATGGGGAATGAGTTTTGTCTTTAATCTGGTGAAGTGCTGTATGAGGAGTGAGCAGAGGCCCCCGCTAAAAACATCACCAAGTTAAGCAGGGGTGAATCATCACGAAGTTGAGAACTGGTTAACAGGTTAGGGTTCTGACCACAGGTTACTTCAGACTTGTTTAAAACTTGGTTTTGGGAATGAAGAGATGGCTCATTGGTGAAGAGTACATAGTGCTCTTCCAGAAGACCAGGATTTGCTGTCCAGCACCTACAGGTGTACCCTTGAAGGGGATTTGGGGACTCTGGTCCTTTCTTATTACTTTGTTTCATGGCCCATGGAATTTTTTCTTCACCATGTCCTCTACTATGATGTGCTGCCTTGCCATAGGCCCAAAGCATCCTAGCTAACCAATCATGATAGGTCCAAAGCATCTTAGCTAACCAATCATGGCTGAACCCTTTCCCCCAAACTATGAAGCTAAGTAAATATTCTCTTTATAACTATCCAGTATATTCCACTATAGTGATGTAGAGCTGACCAAGGCAGGAAGAGAAGAATGCAGTCGGCTGTGAGTAGATCTGCTGGGGCCAGATGGGGGAAGCACAAGGAAGCACTCACTCCACTGACAGGAACTGGCCTGCATTTTGGCTATTGCATAGAGCAGGCAGGAGTGGATGCAGGTATACTAGTCAAAGACTGGCAAACGGGAGAATGCCGGCACATCCTTCTACATCCTGATGTGGACGGTGAGAAGTGGGGGCTTTAAAAGGCAGGGATTATCAGGGCATGGTGGCATACTGCTGACATGAGGGGTGACCCTGAGACAGACCTCATGCGGAGTCAGCAAATGGAAGAAGAATGGAGACGCTGGCCTGAGGATACAGGAGCCAGAGGACAGGCAGAGGGAATGCACATAGCTGTCTCTGGAGTCCTGGGAAAGGAGGGAGGGACTTATCTCAGCATCCTGTGAGGAGAAAATAATTTGGCTACAGTACTTTCTCACACAGAAGGCCTGCCCAGAGCAGGGCCTGACTTCAGTGTGTTTAGTCAACTGGCAGCTGAAAGCTGCTGCCCTAGGACAGGTCAATGTCTGTGGTGACATCTGACATCCATCTCCAGACAACCATGAGTTGCATTTTGGCGTCAGATTTGAAAGATCACAGCCCAGCCCTGCCAACCACAAAGTTGTAAATCACAACCCTGACCTTACCCAATTGGTGAGCTGCCAGAGCTGGCCCCACCCTGGGTCAGCAGGAGCCATAGCTGTCCTGCAGAGCTGAGGCATCCCTATCAGCATCCTTCCTATTCCAGTTTCTGTATTTGTTGGTCCAGTGTTAAAGAGAAACAAAGAGCAGGATCTAAGCCATGTGGGTGCTTGGGGAATGCTGAGTCTATTGGCTCTGCTGCACGGTGAGCCTGAGTTTCTTCCCAGCACATTACACCAAAGGGGAGTAGTGTTTGCTGCTCTATCAGATCCTTTGGGGGTGTATTTACCTTAAGACCTGGCTGCTATTCAAACAAGAGTGACTATGATTAGTTGAACTACGAAGACCTCTACAGACTGAACCTCTACTGGAAGTGACAGCTATTTGCCACGGGTGCCCTATATACTGCTCCATCTGTATGGATGCCAAGCCTTCACAATGACTTGTGCCTCCCCACTTTTTGAGACAGGGGTTCACTGTGTAGCTTTACAGCCTGTCCTGTAACTCCGCTCTGTAGACCAGGATAGCCTGGAGCTCACAGAGATAAACCTGTCTCTGCCTCCTGAGTGCAGGGATTAAAGGTGTGCACCACCAACGCCCGGCCCCATTTGAGAAAGCAAGGAATGCCAAGGAGTGGGTAGGGCCATATACTATGACTAGAGGCCAGGATCCTATTTTGGGTGTATTAAAAACTCCCATTATTGCAGCAATTTCACATTGTATGCAGTGCCTCGGGCCACATGTTGAGGACTAAGAACACTGCATTGTCAGAAGTCTGTCATGGGCTTATGTGGTGATATTTTGTTTGTGCAATAACATGCAAAGCTTGCCTGACGATCAGAGTGCAGAGCTAAGCCAATAGTTAGTCATAGAGGTCAGGGAGTGGTGGCACACTCCCTGCACTCAGAGAGGCAGAGTTCAAGGCCAGCCTGGTCTACACAAAATTGAATCTAAAAGAGAAACAGAGCTCACACAAAGGTGATGCCAGTATCTGGGATCACATGCCTTTAATGCCAGCACCAGTACCAGGGAGGTGGAGAGAGGACTATAAGGTGGGAGGAGACAGGAGCTAAGAGACTGTCTGAGGATGCAGTCTGAGCAGTAGCTGTTCTGAAGCTACTGAGGGAGGCAGTCTGAGAACAGGCTTTGCTCTGAGCATTGGTAGAGGTAAGATCTTTAGTGGCTGGCTGCCCTGCTTCTCTGATCCTTCAGCATTCACCCCCATAGCAGACTCCCCATTTTTATTAAGACCAAAGTTAATTCATGTAACAAGTTTACTCAGCACTTGCATGCTAAGTGTCTACATCCAGCACTGTTATCTGTAGTAGCCAGGTGCTTGCCACCCAGGGAATTGTGGGACAAGGAAATCAGTAGCACAACGTGGGATAGCATCCAGTATCAGATGAACATGCTGCCTCACTCAGTGAGGATAAAGCAAGCAAGCATGAGGGCAAAATACGCAGATGTGGTAACTACCAGCTGTGACCCATGGGAGGGTTAGATGGGAAGCAGAGACGAGGAATCAGCCTGAAGTTCTCAAGACAGCCTGGGGCATGCAGCACAGGCTCAGAAACATAAGATTCTGTTTTGCAAGGTGTGTGTGTGTGTGTGTGTGTGTGTGTGTGTGTGTGTGTGTGTGTGTGTGAAGAACTAACTCCTAAAAGTTGTTCTCTGGCCACACAAACTTTTTGGTTTTGTTTTTTGAAGTATGAATTATGCACGACTCCCTGGGGGGATGTGAACAGACATCCACTTATCCCAGATAGGGCATCTCCAGATCAGAGATCTCCATCCAAGGCTAGCTCACTGACCCAATGATCTTAACTGAGGCAACTTACAGGACTACTGGCAACTTAGAGGGAGCTACCCTACTGGAGAGGGCCCTACCCTGCAGCAGCCATCCTCCACAAGGGAATGTCACCCACTTTGTGAGAATCAGGAGTTACAGTTGTTATATAAAGATGGGAATAGCCGCACCATTCCCAGAGGGCAGATCTCCATGAGGTGATAATCAGAGGCTTACAGAACCACAATTACTGCCTCTGGGCAAGTGTGCGTGTACAGGACACACACACACACACACACACACACACACACACACACACACACACACACACGGGATATAATAGAGTATATACAATAGGGTGGCTTGGCTGACAGGCAGGACCAGGTGGGAATGACACAGAAAGCACCAGAATACAGCACGCTCTCATTATCCATGAAAAATCAAGATTGATTTTGTGGCACATGGCACATCTCTCAAGGAGCTCTTACCAACACATGTTGTTTGGGACTACAGGGCATGGAGAAGGCAGCTCAGGGTTTGGCATAGTCTTTCTGAAGTAAGACTACATAAAATGCTTTCCTTTCTGGTCAACATTTCTCCACCACACTGTTTCCATTTCTCTCCAGGTTACACTGGCTTACACTGCCTTTCATAAAAGCACATACAGCCAGCAGACACCTTAAGAGCACACCATTATCAGGTGAGATGCAGAAGCACAGCGATTTCTGTGTCATCAACTGTCTAAGGGCATCTCAATTTTCCCTCTTCAAGCAAACCCAGGCCCAAAGGACCCAGATCACCCTCTTGCTAAGACTTTGTCTTGCCAGGAAGCACGTGCGTATCGACTTCTCCCTTTATTCCATTTTGATCTACATGATTCTTTCCATTTCCTGGCTCATTTTCCTAAGTGCCTTTTTATACCATCCAGTCAGTTCAGCATCCTTAGCAACGGGAACCACGCCACTCCTCCAGATTAACAGGTGTTTTCATGCATGTTACTCACTAGGCAGCATCTTCCTTTCCCACAATCCACCAAGTGACACAAAAGGGTGTGGGGCTGGGATAAACAGATGCCACAGCCTCATGCAGGAAAACACACAACTGGAGAAAACCAGAGATAGAGTACAAATCAGACAAGTAAGGGAGCTGACACTGAACCTGCCATGCCCTCTGCCAGACCCTGTAAACAGGGTGGTGAGGTACAAGTTCTAAGATACACTGGGTATAGGCCCACTGTAATGAGTGCTCCCCGAGCACTACAGGGCTCACACATCCCTCAGCTCCCCATGCTAAGCTTGGCACCATGCTTACACTTTTCCACTCACTGCTCTCTCAACAAGGTATCTGGCTTCCAGGCCCTCGGTCACACCCTCCAGCCTAACTGGACTTGTCCTCACAAGTGACCCTGAAATAAGTCTCATCTCACAACCCGCAGTGGGTTCTGACTACAGAGAATGAAAAGCAAGTCCTGCTGTTCTGTTCCAATTCTGAACCTCAAAGTTTTCCAGCCTTTCTATCTTTGTACACCTAAGCTTTGCCCTTTAGCCCTCATTTTCCTCTAATTTGGGATTCCCTTGCTCTCCAAGTCATTTCACAGAAAGGCTCCCTCCTTTGTGCAACACTCCTTTCCTCTGAGCAGAGCCTTCCGTAGTCTTTGTTCTCCATACATTGTTTTGCTCCTCTCATCAGATTCCAGCAGTGTCTCAGCAGTATGTCTTCATTAATTGAGAAAATAAAATTTGTATTCGAAACTTAACACTTGTAAAGCCCATTTGAAGTATTTTATGTCCAAATGAAGTTAAAATACTGGCATATAACCTTAAAAAGTGCAAAACATTTTTAACCACAAAATCAGGACAAGTAAATCATCCTCACTTAGAAATGTTTGACGGATTTTTAAACCAATCCTTTAGAATATGCAATACCTGTATTAAGCAAATGAGAACTCCATTTTATGACTGTGTGGAAATTTTGATCACTCAAAATAACAAGCTTGAAGTTAACATCTTGATGTCAACTTCTCCTACTCTGCCTCCCTACCGACAGTAACAGGGCACCATGCGCCAGCTCAGCCAGGCATAGACAGCAAAGTGTCTTCAGACGTGTGTGCAAAGGCAGGGAAGGATGGCATGGATACAAAGGAGCCAGGCAAGATGGAGGAACGCCATTCTATAGACTGGGTTAGCACTCAGGGAGAGACCCTGTACACCTACATGTGGCTCACCCAGCAGCAGTGCTGAGCCTTGTGCACAGAACAGACACGACAGGCTCCGAGCTCCAGTCTCCTGCTGGCTTTGACAGACCCAGATGATACTGACTTTTGCCAAGTAGTCACAATGGCTGCTGTCTTACACAGTTACTAGATCAAGGACATTGAAGCAAGCTCCTTGCTTAACATTCCTCTAGTGATTTCAAACACAAGAACAGCAAACCTAGATCAAGCCATACACCAGCAGTGGTAACTGGGATGACAATGTGTGTACAATCCAAACATAAAACACCTACCCTACTAATAACCTTATCTCAATCCACAGGAAACCCTAAAACCACCTGGAAAACCAAATTTGTTTTGCTTTCAATGAAAAACTCTTACTTTCATACCACTTTTTCTTTTTTATTTAAAATATTATAACCAATTGACATACTAGATAACACTGTTTACATCCAGTGGTGCATGTTTAATGACTAGGGCATGAACAAGTAAACCACAATAATAATCTCAGCATTCCCTACAAAGTGCCCCATTTTGTTTTGTCTAGAGAGGAGAGGGAAAGGAAAACAAACACAGGGAGAGGGAGGGCCGAAGAAAGAATGACATGACCAGGGAGAGAGGAAAAAATTCTAATTATCATCCTTAGGTTTTCAGGCTTAAAAGCTTATTAACAGGGTAAACTGTAATGAGAAAAATAGATGTCACAGTCCTGGCAGACAGTTACTTCAGTTCAGCTTCATCATTCGGATATAAGATTAAGAGCTTCTCAAAAATATACCAAATATTGGGCCTACAAAAGTAATTTATTTCTTCGTAAAATTTACTAAGATTGACTCATTTTTGTAAAATGCAAAGCATGGACTGATACCTTGAGCAGGTTCCTTACAAAAAACAGTGATGACGTCAGTAAGCACAGCTAGCACAATTGCCCAGACACAGTGGAAGACTACACACTACTGTCCCTTACTGAGGAAGGTATGCACTTCACATACTTACTGGTAGTTTGTCAGCAGTGACGACAAAGTATGCAACACACAGTAATAACTTACACTCAGTAAAGAGCTAATATTAAGGGCAACAGCTGACTTGGAAAAGCATAGAAAATCAGTGTGAGGTAGTTCAATAAAAACCTAGTTTAATTTTAAGTCACTGTGAGAATAGGACATTGTGCAAAACTAATCCACAGGTACTATTTCTCAGAAGTTTTGTTAATGAAGAGAATCTAAACCAGAAATGCCCAGAAGGTTACTCTTACTTGACTCCCCTTAAGAGCACTTTGACTGAGAGCAGTTACTTTGAAATTAATTAGGACACAAGTTTTCCTATCTTACCCCAACTACACATTTCTGCTTCAATGCCCTTTATTTCTTCCATCTGCCATGCTATTAAGACAAATTTGTTTCCTGTGGTCCAGGAAAAACCTAAGAGATCAACAGAAACACAATGCACACTAAAATGTAACAGGCCACGGAGGCAATGCTGAAGAGGGCTATGGATGGAAGATGGTGCTGGGTCTGCTACTCATTGGGAAGAATTACTGGGGTCATGGGGCATCATGCATCCAGTCTACAGCTAATGTGTGACTAATGAGCAACACTCACAAACTACAACAGTATTTCAGAAAATATACTATGTTTTTATCTCAAAATGCTGTGCAGGCTAGTGTCCAGGCAACGCTGATGGCTGTCTTCATGTGTGTGGCAGATACTGGCCAACAGTGTAAGCCACAGTCTATTTGTAACTCAGGAAACAGCTTCACTTGCCTACTGCTCATCTTGTCAGGAAGCCTCTCTGCCTCCATGTCTTTAACAGAGTAAGACAAGCCAGGCACACTGCTGCTTTGTACACAATCAATCTTCTTTGTGTTGGGAGGGACTACAGCTTCTTTTACAAGTGGGGTGTGAACACACTGGGCTTTGCTACTGGTGTACACTCTTCTGAGTTGGCAGTCAGCAGCATGGCAAGACACAATAAAAACCACTTAGCAAATAGCAGAAAGAGTTGAGATGCTCTATTTGTAACAAGCAATCCCAACAACATGGTCATCTTACAGATGGTCAGTATATATTAGGGGTAAGAGAGCTGTAACCAGGAAGACATGTAGGAAGAATCAGTGTCCCTTTCCTAACCTATGAAGTTGAATGCTAATTCTCAAGCAACTTTTGAACAGTAAGACAACGGGTAGCTTAAACACATATAATTAAAAAGTCAAATTATAGGGTGGCTAAACAAGTACTGCTAGACGGAAATGTTCTTTGTAAATCCTTAAAAAAAGTACTTAAGATTTAAGTCTCTAAAAGTACCAATATGATTTATGTTAACAGGATTAAGCAAGAGAGGGAGTTGTGTAAACAATGGATCTTAAAAAGCTGGGGCACACACATTTAACAAACAGACCTTACTTTTAGGGTATAATTTTGTTAGTATTTTAGTTTACATTAAGCATTGAAAGCTTTGTTTTCTTCTAATTCAACTGAAACACGATGGCTGGCAAGTGGGAGCTGGCAATTACAACAAATGTACAATCAGAACAACTGTTATTTCTTACTTAACCAAAATCTGCATCAAGAAAGATGGCTTCTCAGCAATCAAACATAAAACACAGAAAACTAATGAAGCATGTCAGCTGTTAAAGTGCAATAGTGACACATTGTATCCAAGGGAAAACAAAACCAGTTAGCTGTAAAACTAATATAAAACAAGAACACACGCTCCAATTTCTGCTAAAATCCTGACTCCAATCTTGTAGTTCTACAGCCCAAGAGGCATAATAGTCTCAAATTCATACTTGTCTAATAAAATTAATGCACCATGTTATACATATAGGAATCACTAAAATATGGGACACTAGAAATCATGATAAACTAATTTGATATATTTCAAAGTGTAAAAAAAAGCTAATGTATCTTAATTTTAAGTATTGCACATTAACAATGACTGAAATACCTTACTTGAAAGTAATTCTACACGAAATATACAAACAAAAAAAAATTAAGCAAACTTTCAGACATTTGCTGAGCTGTGCCTGTTTTTACTCCTATTGGTTGGGAGCTCCAAGGGTCTTCTCCCTACAACCTTGCAGCTCATAATATGTATTTCCCAGTTCATTATATGAAATCCCTCTTGTTCCAGATAATACCAAAGGTGCCTGGGCGTTACAAACATCATTTCAGAAATAATGAGACCTTGATGACATTTTACTTAGGAAAAATTCAGTTACAGAGAAAGGATTCTGTAGATATAAAATGTAAACAGTTAACACACACTTGTCAGGAGCAGCACCATTCTTCAACTACTCAACGTCCACACTGCGTATTATACTTGAAATCAGGTATAAAATCAAAGACTCAGACTAAAGAACCACCACTTTGCCTGCTCTGCTCACTGTGAAGAAACAGTCCTTAGAAAATGACATCCTACATATGGCTGTGTGCTACTATTTTTAGATGAACGGTATATTGCTCATTTAAACATCACCTACACAAATTTAAGTAGGCTTTGGAACCTCCTGACAGCTAGTAAAAATAGGATTATGTTACAGGTAGAATCAAATGGCCAGAAATACCACACATTGGTGCTCAACAGACTGGGCCTTCAAGGAATAGGAACTGGGAAGGTTCAGAGGCCAGAAGCTGTACAAAAGGGAAGTGCAGACTCTTGACCAATGCCAGGACCTACAGCCTGAGATTAACTCAGTGTATACAGAAGCAGGCTCATAGCTGGTACAAGCTATGATTTGCACTGAAATGTATATTCACGAAGTATCCTCTTGACTGTATACGATCAAAAGCTGAGCATGCCGCACTGTGCAGAATACACCACATTTCTTGATCTGAGTTTCTGTTGGGTTGGGGAGCTCCAAAAGGTAGCAGGATGTGCTCAGCAATTTTAAAGACATGCTCTGAGTTATTCTGTCATTAGATAGCAGGGAATTTGCCAAAATTTAGGTAAGGTTACCTACTAATTGTTGTAACTAAATTGGGATTGGCAAGTAGCAAATATTGGAGGTTTCTTGACACGTTCATCTTTTACAGTAGTTATTCCTGAATATAACTGGCTACAGGTTATTTTTTCCCTTACTCCTCTGGGGTTATTTCATTGATAAGCACATAACCCTTAAGGATAGCATCATGAACAAACATCTGAAATAAATTCTAATAAAAAACTTATAAACATCTTAAATAATTCATGATATATGCAAGTCACCACATAATAGTTGCTTTGATAAACAAAATCTTACAAATTCAGTAAAAAAAATCAGCAGCATAAGATAAAGCAAATATGCAAAAAATTTAAACCATGATAAAATAATTATGTTTACATCATACAGTTAATTACAGCAAAAATACAATACAGTTTTGTTGCTGTTTAAAAACACAACTTAGGTTTTAAATTACAACACTTGAAATTAAAAAAAATAAACTACTTTACTACAAAATGAATTCCACATTTTCTGGAAAATCACTCAAAAATATGACCACTGAATTGTTTTTAAAGCAGTTCTATCAATGACTAACCGATTCCCCATCCCTCCCACCCCCCCAAGGCCCAAGTAGTCATCTACAGCAGCCTAGAGGTCCAGCTGATGCTTCTAGACTGCTGTCTGTATCCGAGGCCAAAGTCGGATCTGTGGACATTGAAGATACATCATTGACAGATGGTGAAGACGATGGGTGTTGAGAGCCGTTGATCACTGCTGCACCTGTGCTATGAGAAACAAAACAGCAAATCAGTTACTGTGCTGCCTACCTCCAGTGTCAACATGCTACTTTTCCTGGGCTTAAGGGATGCTGAATCGAACTAAACCTAACACTAATGTTCTCTTGTCCACACAAGCTATGAGGGGAGAATTCATAAACATATCTATATTCCTGTCCTTTCTACTGCATTGTTAGTTTAAGACAAGAAGTTAGAAGTCCAAATAACATGAAGAATCACCCTAGAGCAAGATTCATAAATGGGCCTCGGGGTGTGTTCCAAAGAGTTGTGAGTATATATAAAAAACTGTCTATATTGCACTTTGTTGCAGAGAAGATCCCAAAGAACCAAGTGATTAAAAAAAAGTTGGAAAGGTAGAATACTACAGAAAGTATTACTTTTGATACTGTTATCACACAAAAACCACAATGTCAAAATTGATACTTCTGGTACATTTTGCAAAGAAGAAGCCAACACAAAAGAACAATTTTGATTAGGAAGGACCTTAATCAACTGCCTGGTACCAGACTGTGTGACTTTCCAGAGGAACTGAAACAACCTAATTAGAAAATTCAGGTCTTACTTAGATTCTAGATAATACCAGGCAAAGACAAATACAGACTTACTAAACAGAGACAGGAACATCTATTTTTCTCTGCTAAAAGTAGTATCTAACAAGCATTTCTTTTGTTTAACACCCCTTCTCCCCAAAACACAGACAGAAATCCTTTCAGGAGTAGGCTTCATTCTGGGGTAGGAGTATGTTAAAACAACTCAACAACAGGAAGCAACCGTCAAGCCACAAGCTTACTACATTTAGAAGCATATAAAAGTTCTCAAGAACACATTTATAATAAAAACAGTGGAGTTCAGGGCCACAAGAGTTAAAAGCAAGAAGGTAGGAAGTCTGCTGAACCACATCTCAGGGCCGAGATCATCCCCATTCTGCAAAATGAACAGAACACTCAGATACAAGAGGTCCACCAAAGGCTTGCTTTCAAATGTGACGAAAGTACCAAGAAGACCAGACTTGATAGTACATGCAGCAAACTCTGTAAAGGTTTCATTTGTTCTAACTAAAGACTGTTCAAATCAGAGCAGAGTAAATGTTAGGAGAATTCTTTAAAGACAAGGCAGTGGTGCTAATGCAAAGAGGGTTTAAATCAGTACAACAGAGACAACAGCAAACAGCAGAGACAACAGTGTGTCAGTGCTTTCCAGCTGAACTATCACACTGTAACTATCAAACAGTGAGTATGGGAAGAACTGCAGGTCCCAGGCCACTGCCTATAACACAAGAAATAAACCACAACCACACCACAACAGGTTTATATTGTAACCAACCTAAAGGGGATGGCTGCCCTCTTATGACTCCATTCTTGGTTCGCTCCTCCAAGTCCATTACCTCCTTATATATCAGTTCTGAAAAAGAACAGAAGTTAAGTTCTTTTGAAATCAGAGTGAACAACCTCAGAAGGTATGTATATTTTAAGTCAAAACTTGTGTATCTGTTAAGTATATCAAGCTAATAACTTCTTGCAATAACAGCAGATCAAGTGAGTGTTGAGTTCTGATTCACAGACATTAACAATTCCCTGATCTTCAACCATAGACTATACAAAAAGATAGCAAAACTCTCTGCTGTTAACTGTTTGCACTGGTTAATGGGCACTGGCAGAAGCCAGCACCTGCTTTCAGGGTATCACCCACACAGCATCTGCCTTACAGATGCTTGTCTGATTTTGTCTAAGGGAGGACTAGGTTCTGTGATTATCTTCCTTCTACTTCTTGAGTCCTAGCCTTATATAACAAGATTTTAGTTAACAAAAATGTATAACCCAAGCAGTGTTTACAATTAGAATGGGACAGAAAGACATTTTTTATTGAAGGAAAAGCAGCAGTAGCTTCAGCTCCTTACAAATAGCTACAAAAGGCGTGAGCACCAACAGCTTTTCCTAAAACTCTTGTATCCCTGAGTGTGGGCATCAGCAGATCACTACAAATACAGATTTGACTGAGGAAAGACACAAGGCACAGTATATACCCACAACCTACTCCTCTACATCATTCGGACTTCTCCATTACCATTATTTAATCACCTTTGGGTTATGTACTCTTTGAAAAAATTATATAAAATTACTTGAAAAATATACACACCAAAATTGTAAAGAATTCCAAAGAGTTTGTGTTAGTTCCCGAAGTTCAAGCTTTTTATAAAGAATCCCTTGATGGAGGCCAGGCATGGTGACACATACCTGTAATCCTAGTACTTGTGAGACTGAGGTAGGAAGATCACAAGTTTGATGTCAGTCTGGGACATACACATATTTTTATTTCAACATTCTCACAACCATCAAAAGCATCATTAATAGTCTAACAAATAAATGAAATTATTTTTTCAACTGAACAGAAAAATTCTCAAAAGAAATACAAATGGACAATATATGAAAAAAAAAAAAAATCAACATTCCAAGCCATCAGGGACATATAAAAACAGTACCAAGATTCTATCCAACATCAATCTGAATGGCTACCATCCATCAAGAAAATAAATGGCAACAAATGCTGGCAAAGATGTGGTTAAAAAAAAAAAAAAAAAAAAGGAACCATATCAGTGAAAACAGAAATTAGAATAGTCACTATAGAAATTATTAAAAGTTCCCTAAAAACTTTAAAAACAGAATAAAAGAATCTAAAGGCTGAATATAACGGATACTTGCACATCCATTGTTATTCATATACTATTCACAGCAATAACATATGCTATTAGTCTAGCTTCCCATCAACAGAAAACTGGGTAAAAAATAATGTGGTTCGACAAGATGTGGTGGTACATGTCTTTAATCCCAACACTCCAGAGACAGGTAGCTCTTGGTGAGTTTGAGGTCAGTCTGGACTACAAAGTGAGTTTCAGGCTGGCCAGAACTACATAGTGAGAGCCTGTCTCAAAAATAAACAAATAAAAGAACAACAACAAGGCAAAACAAAAAAAAAGTGTGGTGTATATGTATGCAAGGTAATTTTAGTCAGCCACAAAGTGGAATGCAATGATGCCACTGGCAGGAAAACAGAACTGGAGAGTACCACGCTAAGTTAACCTCACTCAGAAAGATAAATATTGCATACTCTATATGGAACCTGAACTTGACAATATAAATATGTATGACACAAAGGGGCAGATTATAGAGAGAAAAGGGACACGTGAGATGGTAATGGAGGGCATGAAAGGTAGAAGGAGATTAATATGAACAACAGAATGATACACATCTGAAAATGTTATAATGAAACATGTTACTTTGTTCACTAAAATAATAAAATAAAAAGCAATTTATACATCCACATTCACAAAACAGAGCAAACACTAGATCTGATGTTCACAGTGGGGTGGACTGATATTCTTGTGTCATGCTGATAGAAGCAGAAACTATAGTTTCTTTGATTAAAAAAACAAAACAAAACAACAAAAACCCAGGAAATAACTAACAGAACATTTGGTCCAGCATATCTTTTTGGACTACTCCCTCTGTTATATTCAAATATGTGCACATAAACACATGGAAACAGCAACAGACTATGTGAAAGTCACCTTCCGTGCATCTCACCAACTAAGAGACAAACTTCCTTATAGCTCACTCCTTAGTAGCTACTAAACTCTGCTGTGTGGATCAAGAGAATGACATCTTCAAGATGTATGGAGACATTAACAAACAAGTGTATATAGAACACTATATTTTAGAGATTTTAGTGGTTTTAGAGATAGAACATCCAAAACGTGGTTGTTCCTACTAATGTGCCTACTCCTGAGGTAGAGTATTTCAGAAGGAAGGAAACTGTCTATTTCTGTAAAACAAACACACAAACAATAACTCATTACCAACTATAAGTTATGAAAACAGAAAGCAACACTATGGAAGGAGGAGAGCTGTGTCAGTGTTTAGACTCTGGTGAGTGCTACCTTTCCACTCTTCTATCGTGTGCTCCCTCTCATCCAACTGCTTGTCAGGGATCTTCGGTGGTGGCTGAAAGACACAAGGCAGTAACTACTGAGTCAGTTTATTGGAATTCTATATACTATTCATCACTTGAAATATCAGCCAGACAAAAGACTTGAAAATTAATCATAAGACAAAGACTAATCAATCATCACTGACTTTAACTCTCTAGATAGTAGTTCAGTAAGATCCCTTTGTAAGACATAAGATATCTGTCTTTTTTCTTTTCTCCCAATTTTAGAAGTTGTCACATTGTACCTGTATTATAAAACTCTGCTCTTATTTGGATATAAAACATTAGTTCTAACTAAGGCTGCTCACACAGACATTCTATCTCCTCTCTAATCAACTATCAATTCAATAGAGTAAGAAACTGTGGAAGGATACCTGATTGTGTGTGACAGCTTAGATATGCTCATTAACCTAAAGCTTTCTTCATGAAAAACTAGGAAACCATTAACATCATTTATCTATACTTTATTTAAAATGACAAGTTCTCTTTCAAACTTAATTTTAACTATAGCTCTAAGAATGCAATATGTTCTTCAAGCAATTAAGAACTTACAGCTTCTGCTTCCGAAGGATCATACCAGACGTTGATGTATGGGTGCTGGAGAGCTTCATCTACTGAGATCCTTTTGGATGCATCTATCACTAGCATTTTGGATAACAAATCCCTTGCCTGACTGGCTGCAAAAATAATGATATTAATACACACATGTTCATGAGATTCTCCAATTATTAACTTTAGAAAGTTGAGGTTATCTTTTATTTTTAAAAAGTATTTTTGCCAGGCACTGTGGTGCATATGCTTGTAACAGCTGAACTGTTGATACAGAGGCAGAAGGATCACAACTTCCAGGCCAGGTTCTAGTCCCACGTTAGAAAAATCACACAGTAAATAGCTACCTCAAGCTGAACCAAGACAGACCAAGCCAAACCAAACCCTATGTGTTACAGGCAGTGGTGGCACACACCTTTAATCCTAGCATTGGGGAATGGGCGTGGGGGTGGGTAGAGGCAGATGGATCTGTGGAGCTCTGTGAGTTCCAGTCCAGCCTTGTCTACAGAGCTGGTTCCATGACAGCTATGGCTACACAGAGAACCCTGTCTCAAAAAACAAAAACAAAACAACCAAAAAGTTTTATTGCACTTTTTAGTTATGTGTGCATAGAGGAAGGGGTGTGTACATGCACATGAGTGCAGGTGTCCAGCAAGGCCAGAAGAGGGAATCAGATCCCCTGGATCTGGAGTTATAGGTGGTTGTGAACTGCCTCACATGAGTGCTAGGAAGCAATCTCTCTAGTCCTTAAAAATGAATGAATGAATGAATGAATGAATGAATGAATGAATGAATACCAGGTCATACCATGAACCTAGGCTAGCCTGGAACTCACAAGGTAGACCAAGATGGTCTTAAACTACTGGCAATTTTTTCAGTCGCAGCTTCCCAAGTGCTGGGATTATAGTTGTGAACCACCACTCCTAAAGAATAGTTTTTGCTATAAAACCAGGATACATAGATTATTTATAAATTTTTTCTTTCTTTTTTGAAGCAGGTCTACATTTTGTTGTCCTAGCTGGCCTTGAACTCAGAAATCCTCCTGCCTCTGCCTCCCAATTCCAAGGATTAAAGGCAATGCCACTATATCTAGCTAACACACAAAAATAACAAAAAACTTCCTATGTTCCACTAGCAGACAATTTTGTGTTAGATCCCTCAAGAATATGACTAAGCATTCTTCCCAGACATGCATACCCAAAACAGAATATGGTGTACACAGTTAAATAACTTACCTTTAAGTTTGTTATGCTCTGAGTCAGCTGGGAAAAGCACATCAGGGAACAGTTTCTCAAAGCTATATCCAGCATATTTAGGTCTGTTTTCAACATAAGTCCTTACTGTTGGTTGTAGTTTCTTCATGAATTCAGGACAGGGTGTTCCAAGCTGTTCAATAACTTTATTCCACTGATCAATATCTATTATCAAGTAGCTAAGAAAAATACTCCATGGATCAAATATTCAACACTCTAATCTTATAATTAATTAATTATTGTAATTAAATACAAGAAAATAAAAAATTTTAAACTTAAAGAATGTGGCCATTATATATTTTATTCGTCAAAGCTACCTTGCAAAAGGCAATAATTGCAAGTGGATAAAAATGATCAATAAATAAGCTTTGTTAATCTTATTTATTGTATGTATGTGTGCTTGTGCACATGTATAGGTGTATATAAACATTAATTTTGTCATGAAACAGAGGGATAAACAAGTAAATTCAAAATAAAATTTATAACTCAAAAACTATCATTACTATACACAAAGACTTAAAATGCAAACTGCACAAAACTTTAGTATTTAAAAATTTGCCTTTCCCCCAGTAAGAAATATTTCTTTTCTGTCTTGCTTTTCTGAGTTCTCTACGCTAACAGAAAACACCCAATGGTAATAAAAAATGACGACTTAGACTCAGCATTTTCTTTTGCCATTCTCAGGTTTGCCTATGTTTATTGCATTTGTGTAATGCTGAAACACATGAAAGTGATACCTGTACCTCAGCATGCTGTAGACTAGGATTTTCTGGTCTTTTCCTTCTAGTCTTTATACTCCAAACCCCCAAAGACTAATATCCCAAACACTTTTAACTGTAACATGGTGAATACTCTCATTCCTCAGTGATAGACACTTCACTATTAACATAAATATTAAAAGTTAATGAGCTAAAAGCATGAAGCCCAACCTAATTACCAACAAAGGAAACTTCTTGCTGACATTCTCAGCATGTTACGTTAATGTAATGAGACAGTAAGACACAACATACAAAACAGTAACAGAAAGATGTAGGGAAACCAAACAAAAGGACAGACAGGAGTAACAGATAATTCCAAAATTCATGCTACCTTCAAAATAGTTACAGACTTACTCAAGTGTTAAAATTTCTTAGTGTAAGCCATAATTTTTTTGTGTTAATGAACTCAAAGCCATCAAGGAACTATAATCACACTTGAGCACTTTTTACAATTAACATATGCAAACAATAAATGAGGAAAAGGGAAGCCTACATCAAGCAAGAGGTGGTATTCTGGAAGAGTAATTTAACAATATTTGTATTTGTATTAGGAAGAGACAAAATACATTCCACTTGACTCGGTACCATACAGTTTGTTTGACCTTTAGAAACTACATTTTAGGCCAAAGATAAGGATACGATCTGTACCTGGGAACAAAACACCACCTTTGATCATTTCTCCCATGATGCACCCAACTGACCAAATGTCAACTGAAAACAAAATGCAATGACATTAACATAAAGATTTGGTTAAAATAAAAAAGAAAAAAATATAAACATTAAAATAAAACACGCACACCATATACACTTAAAATTATAAAAAGCAATACAAAATAAAAATGAGTGACAGTGAATGTGCTGACTACCAGCAGAGACTATGTCCTGCTGCCAGGTGCAGCCTATGAACACTTGAGGTTTTTGCTCATTAGGTTTTTGAACTATAACAGCCACAAACTTTACATCTATTTAAACAAAACCAAACCAAACCTGTATGTACAAATGTAGAATATGTTCCTTTTCATTAGCAAACAGAAGGAAGTTCATCACCTAGCTAATTAATCTGCTGCAGCAGCATAAGGATACAGTCCCTTCCTGGAAAGAGGATTTTGTGGCAAACCATTTCTCCCATAATGCACCCCACAGACCATAAATCCACTATATGTTTGCAGCACAAAAGAAGGAAAAGCAAAGCAAAAGGTCATTAAAATCAAAGAAGCATAATATGACTGCATTATCTAAAAACTGCAGAACATCACAAAAAAAAAAAAGGTGGTTTGAATTTCAAATAATGGAATAATTTAAAACACAAAATACTTTTTAAAAAGCTTTGAATCACAAAAGAAAATATGAAGAGTGGCGTTTTAATTATGTATCTAATTTTAAAGTGAGAGCTATGCACAGAAATTGTAAAGATTAAAAACAAACATTTTATAACAGAATTTGTTTATAAAATATAAAGTAGAGCCACATAAACTTTATAAATAAAGTTAAGAATGTGTATGAGGTCATAAAATCATAAAAATAAGATGTACTATTTTGAGGTTTAACTGTGCATTTTACTCTCTCTTTAAGTTGAATTTAAAAAGCACAAGCAGAAATAATCTAGCATATTAAAACCAGAATGTCTAAATTTAATAAAATGTTAATCTAAAGTTTTTCTCAGGTTTCAAACTGGCTTTCACAGGTTTATTAAACTGAAAAGGCTTTGTTTGTATGTTCTGAATTAAAAGTCAGTTATTTTTTTTTTGCAACTTCATTTTACATTTATACCTAACCTCTACCCAAAAAGGAACAAATGCAGAGAAAGAAGAACTTATCTGTTAAGAAACCTTGGTAAACACAAGTGATTACCTACAGATTTGTGATCTGCAAAGACTCTTCTAGCAGATCACTGCATTATAAAACTTGCTACAAGGGGTTGAATTTGCTTTCAGGCAGCTTAAAATAGATTACCCCAAACTTTCCGAACTCACTCTCTCTCTCTCTCTCTCTCTCTCTCTCTCTCTCTCTCTCTCTCTCTCTCTCTCTCCTCTGTTTCTCTCCTCTCCTCTCTCTCTCTCTCTCTTTGTGTGTGTGTGAGAGTTAAAAGAGGCCATCTGCATGTCATCCCCTGCTAGCTAATGTAGTTTATGAAGAAGCATTAGATTTGAATGGGTTCCTGGGAGAACAGGCAGGAAAAGCAATGAGATAGATGATATATGTGACTCCCATCTAAGAGAGGACAATATATCAATTCTTCTTTTTAAGAAATTTTTTAATTATTTATTTTTATCTTATGTGCATATGTCTGTATGAGGGTATCAAACTCCCTGGAACTCGAGTTACAGACAGTTGTAAGTTTGAGTTCTGGGAACTTAACCCAGGACCTCTGAAAGGACAGCCTGTGCTCTTAAGCACTGAGCCGTCTCCCCCGCTCCAATACACCAATTCTTGACAATAGCAACCTCTAATTTGGAGCAATGTCAAGACCATATTTACAAGGATACCAACACATGGTGCAATTTATGTGATAACCCAAAGTTTCACAGAAAAGCAATGAGCAATCTGCTTTCTGGTTACTTGAAATGTCAAATCTCAAAACAAAACTTTTAAATCTTGTGTTGAGACTAAGAAAATACAGTATCATGTTTATTTAAAATAAGTTGATATCTAAAGTATTTGTTTTTAATTAGCTCAAAAAAGAAGAGGAAATTAAGCAAGGACCCCAATTTCAACAGTATCACTATTTGTATGTATATATGTATATATGTATGTATGTATGTACATATGCACTAAGAATCTTCAAGACTGACAATAGTTTTCTGATTCAAAGTGAACTACTGTTCTAATTCCTTCACTAGAAATACACCACTGTTCTAATTCCTTCACTAGAAATACACCACATTAAAAAGTTTAATATATCCACACATAATAATATATTCAATTTCCTTAAGGCTGGACACAAGCTTTGGTGCAACACTAGTACTTCCCACAAGAGGTTACAATATCCAATTAGCCTTAATGTAGCTCTCAGTTTATAGTGAGTGTTAGTTCTGGTTTTAGAATTCTTTAGGGGTAGGATTGATGGAAAGTATTCACATTTAAGATAAGACCCTCATGCTTTCCTAAACATATATGGTAAAATGCTCAGATTCTTGATATTAGAAACACTGATACATGCTTAACTCCATGCACTTCAATTTAAAAGTATAAAAAATTTATTGATAAACTAAATCAAATGAGTATTTCAAAGTGAAAGTATATGCTGACCGTTCTCCTTGTAGCCCATGCCAAGGATGACCTCTGGAGCTCTGTAGTAGCGAGTCACCACGTAAGGTGTCATCATGAAACTTGTTCCTGCAGTCCTTGCCAGTCCAAAATCAAGAATCTTCAAAGTGCAGTCTGATTTGACTACTATATTACTAGGCTTTAAGTCCTTCAAGAAATAAACATTAAAATGATTGCTAAGACACAGATACAAAGGTTTTACTACTCAATTGAGCTACATAATCTGTCAAATAATTTAACTATTAACTGTTTTCACTGCAAAGTAACTACGGAGATTCAACACAAATAGGCAAACCCAAGAAGTCAGATTTAAGATATTTTCATTTATATAAACATAAACCCAGTATGGAAGTTAGTAATGTTTTATTTCCTAGAAGTTAGTATTATAGCTAGAAATTCTTGGTCAAATAGAGCAAGAGATTTGGAAAGACATCTTAAAGCTTATTTAAGAACACTTTAGTGTGGGGCTGGAGAGATGGCTCAGTAGTTAAGACCACTGGCTGCTCGGACCTGGGTTCATGTCCCAGCATGCACATGCCAGCTCACAAGTGTCTGTTAACTCCAGTTTCAGGGAATTCTATACCCTCACACAGACATACATGCAGGCAAAATTACATAAAAGAAATAAAAAATTAAACAAACAAAAAAGAACTTTTGTGCAAGGCATAGGCCTATCCTTTGTAATCCCAAAGCAGAAAGGCTGGGAAGTTTAAGATACATAGTGTACTGCTTAGGTTTTTGTTAACTTGACATAACAAACTAGACTCATCTGGGAAAAGGAAACAACAAGTGAGAAATTGCTTCCACCAGAATAGCCTGTAGACAACTCTGGGGTTATTTCCTAATCAGTGATTGATGTGGGAGGGCCCAACCTACTGTGGGTGGTGTCCTCCCCGGGCATGTAGTCCTGGTTGTTTAAGAAAACAGGCTGAGAAAACCATGGAGTTGCAAGCTAGTAAACAGCACTCCTCCGTGGAATCAGCTTCAGTTATTAATCCAGGTTCCCGCCATGACTTTCCTCAAAGACGGACTGTTTGTTACATATGATGAAGCAAGCCTTTTCTTCCCAAGTTGCTTTTGGTTAGGGTTTTATCACAGCAATAGAAAGCAAATTATAATACATAGCAATACCCTGTCTTAAAATACCAATCACAATGAAAGAATTGCTATGGTATGAGTTATAAATTAGCGTTTATATTCATCTGCATACTAAATTAATAGCATTAGAAATCTCATCCTAAGGTCACAATGAGCTTTACATCACTTTAAAACCACTATGAAACATTCTACTAATAGTCACGTGATCTTGACATAAGTTATTGGAACATTCATAGATACACATGTTTGCTTTCATGGGGAGGGAGATTTGGAATCAATCTCAGTTCAATAGATATTCATTCTAAAGGACCAAAATAGTAATTATCAGTCTGCCCATTCCTGACTTCCCACATAAAATCACAAATATTTGCTCATAAATGTTTGCCTACTTGTAGCACACACTAGTTCATAAAATTTATGAACTTGGTTTATAAAATTGGTTTCTGCTGGTAGTTCTAAATAATGTCTTTGTGAAAAGCTGCCACTTGGCTCGAGCCAGAAGGAAATCTGTATAATGCCTATTAAAACGAAGGCAGTGGCATAAATACTCAGGGTTTCACATTCATCACGTTTTTGCCTGTTAGCTTTAATGAACACTCATATCCACACCACAATCACACTATCTCACATGTACAGGTGAATAGCAGATACTAACACCAAAAGCAAAGGCCCTCAGGACAAAGGCCCCTTTAAATGTCTACATGCAGGAATTGCTAATATGCTGTTTCTAACAGGCTATCATGCATAGACTTAGGAACAGACTCAGGACTTTAGAAATTAAGAATACTAAGAATATAGATTATTGTGCTCGCTTCGGCAGCACAGATACTAAAATTGGAACATACAGAGAAGATTAGCATGGCCCCTGCGCAAGGATGACACGCAAATTCGTGAAGCGTTCCATATTTTTGATAAAATTGAACATAAAGAAAGGTCTAGAGAACTACAAGACTGTTCCCAACTAACAATCTCAGCTTCCGTGGAAAGGCTATCATAAATGCCCTTCCCGGAGAGTGAGATCAACAACTAACTTCTCCATGGAGCCCTCAACTAATGCCTGTTGAGAACGGGATCAAACACCCATACATGAACACTGAGTCGAACTGGAACCCAGATGCAGATGGAGAGGACAAGACCATGCGGCAGAAACACATACAGACAGTTTACCTGAACAAGGAGGAGCTAACGGCCACTAGACTAATAGCTGGGAAGCCAGCAGGGGACTGACTCAGGCCCCCCTGAATATGGGTCTCAGCCAGGACTGAGCAGTCTAAGAAACCTCAGACAGTGGAGCCAGGATATACCCCTGGTGCACAAAAGGACTTTGCGAACACATCCCCCATGGAGGGATAACTGCCTTAATCTAGAGACAGGAGAGAAGCCCTAGTCCCTATTTCACAGGACCTGTCAGATCTGTATGACCCCAACTGGATGGCATTCCCCTACATGTGGAATTGGGGTGGGGGGATGGGAGGGGAGGGTGTTTGGAGTGCATGGGAGAGGGCAGAGAGGGTAAAAGGGAGGGAGGGCTGGGGGGGAGGGAGAACTGGGATAGACATGTAAAATAATAAATTAAATTAAAAAAAAATGCTTTGACTCCAAAATTTAAGTTGAAGGACAAGTTACTGGGGAAAAGGATTTCTATTTTTGTTTCCACAGAAAATGAAAAGATGTGGATTCCTTCCAGACTAATGTGGTTTGATCACGCCAGACCGCCTGAAACAGAGTACAAGGTGATCCTACATTCAAAACAGCTGGACAAAGCAGCCCTACAGTCTACAGCCAGGTATCTGAATCTTCTTCCAATCCCCCATGACAGCGCCCCTTACCAGCAGGAAGTAGTTTGGAAAGAACGACCCTCAAATTCCCAAATATTGTGTATAAATGTTTGTTTTCATTTAATTGGACTTTGTTATATAAAATTAAATACAAAAATGTTAAAAAAAGAATATAGATTATTACAGCAGAAGACAAAAACATCACCATTCCTGTTCTGCAAATATAATGTTGCTAATACTTCTGAAATACTGTATACAAAACAAAGGAAAGCCCATTACAGACTTTAATAATACACTTTCATGTCTGCTGTTATAGCTGGGGATTACTGGCTCTTTATACTAGCTGGTTCTAGTCTAGAAAAAAAACTCAAAAACACTTTTTGTTCTGGAACAATTATGAACAAATACATTTTTTTTTTTTTTTTTAAAGAAACAGTTTAAGAAAATGTCAAGAGTCAAGAGTACTTGGCTCTAATTGTTTATCTTTTTATAGGTGTCATTGTTAACTACATATGAAACATTCAACACCCCCCCCACCCCCCCAGTTTTCTAAGCCTCTCCAGTCAGGCAAGGTGGCATGAGTACATCTAATAGGTAGTATAGGTAGTGTCTGAATGGAGACAAAGTGGAGGAGGGCCAGTACATAATCTCCTGTGGTTCTTCTTGCTTTGGTGAGTAAGAACACTCCAGGCAGTGAGCTTTATTGGCAGCAGGATTGCTCAGCATCTTTACAAAGCCATGTTCCCTCTCCCACCATGATCTGCCTGTTTGCATAATACGAGAAATAAACCTTAGTCATGTTTAGCTAGATTTTGATACTTATTACTATAGCCAAGCCTACTTACTTCATGGTTAGCCAACTCAGGAGTAGATAGTTGCTATTACAAGTTGAGTATCCCTACTCTGAAATCTGAAAGACCCAAATTTAAGTCATTTTGAATATAACTGACAGTACTCAAAAGGTTCTTATATCAACTTTGATGTCTATGCTAAGAAAAACTTAAAGGTAGCTTCAAATTAGTCCAAGGATGCAGGGTCCATCAAGCCAATGCTCTGATTTTCAAGGAATCTGGATTTCTAACTTTCAGATGTAGGGATATTCACTAAGTCTATGGAAATACCCAAAATCTAAAACATTCCACAATGTGAAACACTCTGGCCCCAAGCATTTCAGATCACAGACGACCTGTGCAAGGACACAGGGCCATGAGCTGGTGAATGAACAGCATTGGAACCAGTAACAAAATGGAAAGAGATCCCAATTATGCAGATGCAAAGATATTTTACGTCATACGAACAGGACTTGCATAATGAACAGGGACTGATAACTGAGAGCCTGACTGCTTTTGCAAAGGGAGTTTTATGTGAACTTAGACACAGTCATTTTGCTCCATGTTATCTACATCTGCTTTTGTGATAAAAGGGCAGAATCAGCTAAGTAGCTGTGGCAGAGGCCTTAGAATGTGGTATTTACATAAACAACTTCCTGAACTCCTGGCTCTAGAAGAGGTTGGAAAGCAAACTTCATCTGTTAGTGGCTACTGGCTCCATCCAAAAGAACTTGCCACATTGTAAGTAGAAACAGTGTCATCATTTTGGATAAGTGAAATGCTACTGGAACCCAGAAAAAAGTGACATGGTTGAATTCAACCCTGGACCAAGCAACATCCTTTTATATGCCTACCCTTGTTTCAGTTAATGAAACATGAGAGAATGTGATGCTCACCAGAGCTGAAGAGAAATTCTGGATTTATTTAAGTTAGCATAATTTCTGTCTTTCTACCTTATACCATGGGAAAACAATGTCCCTGGGAAGCAAACCTGAACCTGACCCAAGGTATGGGGCAACGTCACAGTCACACAGCCAACCCTGAGGATCTTGAGCAAGCACTGTGCTGTTTCAAATCATGGACATTCTTGGCTTGTTTCTATGTACTATTTCCCATAACAAATCTGAAAGCCTTGTCAAATCCTTGAATGATGAAATCATTTCAGTCTGTCCAAAGAAGCCTGGAGCTGTGAAGGTAGACTCAAGAGAGCTTCAAGTCCAAGAGTACAGAGCCCGCCAGCTAATATGTTTTAAGAAGACATACAATCAAAAAGCTACACTTCTTTTAGTTGCTGATAAAAGCTTCACTATGAAAAACAAAACTCGTTTACACATCTTACATGGGTAGGACAGCAAGAAAAGAAACTTTCTGCTCCAAATGTCAATAACAGAAGATATTTGTGCTCCTGTCTTTCATGGGTAGGAAGCAGGCCAAGAAGGCTAAACAGCCACTGAGTCCACAGCCTTCAATACTTACTTGAGATATATTTAAGGAAGAGAAGAGGAAAGGAAGACTCCCACAGGGAACAGCCAAGTAATGTGGTCAAAAGTGGACAGGCTGCACTGTGCAGAAATCAGATTCAACTCCTAATGAGTGAACATTCCCACCTTACCTCCAGAGAGAGTAAGACTTACAATGTCCATTCAGCAGGATTTCAACTGCCAACTAACCCACCACTGTATCTTTCAGTTTTCCAATGAGATTGGACTATCCTGGCCCTACCTGATTGTTCTATGGAAGTAACTTGAGGAGACGGAAGACAGAGCCAGTCCCTATGTTTCTGGGCCCAAAGGATCAATGCTTAAATCTGATACAGATAATAATGTGTATGCCTGTTAAGGAGGTATGCAGCAGAGAGCAGCAGTATGTCAGCCAACCATAGGCTATGGTAGGACTGGTACTCACCAACATTCATGAGTCTGCTCTCCCCACATTTTCCTGTTCTTTTATAACTAGGCAGGTCTTTATGGCTAGCTCTGCTGATACATTGAACAGGGTGATGTGTGTCACATCTAGGCCAGCCATTAAGTAATGTATTACTTTTTTGCTAACACAGTGAGATGTAGTTAGAGGAAGTCTAAGTGCTAACAGGGGTTTCTAAGTGCTAACAGGACACCTGACTGCAGTCCTTGGAGGAATAGAAGTTTAGACTGTCTCTTAAGTCAAGGAGTGGCTACAGAATGGCAGAGTTCAAGTGAACCTAGAAAGGAGGACAGGCGCTGTGAGGACTAGATGCAAGATTGGCAGCTATAGTTTATCATGTCAATTTTTTGGTAGTTGCTTCAGAAAAAGACAGCAAGGGAAAAATCTGTCAGGAACAGACAGAATTTAGTGCCTAAATCAGTGGGAAGAGTGATCCAAGGAGTTCAATAGGCTTTGTGATGTCTGTTCGGACTCTTGGCTCAGAGATACTGATTCTTCCATTTCCTAGAAGGAATGGTTGCTAGTGGCCTTCAGAAAACTCCTCCAGGGATGACCTGTTTTTAGCACAGAAGTTAATAAAAGCCACCAGTTGAGGCTTTTGAAATAAATATAGTCAATGCAATTTCCCACTTTGTCCATGTTTATTTTGTTATGGATATTGACCCTAATGGAACTTTCCAATAGCTTCTTCCATGGATAGCTCCACCCTAGTTTCCCTATTGCCCAGCTTAAGGTACAAGTCAATACACCAGCAGACTTGTGTGTCTATTGTTACTCAACTTTAGTATAGTAAGAACATTTCTATAGCCACACTTTATTTTTCCTAACAACTTCCAAAATGAATAAAAAAAAAAAAAATTAAGTAACTAGAGAAGAAGGAATGCCTCCTAACTTATGACACTAGCAATGCCTTGATACCAAAGTCAGATCAAAACTACTTTCACATGGAAATGAGAAACTAAAGCATTAATGAATTCAGGGGCAAAAATCCTCAACAAAAATACTAGCAAACAATAGTATACTGGAATTATATAACATGACCAATTGGGATCTTTCCGAGAAATAAAACTTGAGTTCACAACACAAAATACAGTCTCATTAGTTGAAGGGAAGCCATACATACAAATTTGTGCATAAAATCTTTGGCTAAGTCAACACACTTTAATGACAAAATATGCAAACCAGGAATCTAAGATAAATGGAGAATTAATCTTCTATGAGGGGGGATCTGGCCTTTGTCCTAAATTACGGGTGATTTTAACACCTGGAATATCCGGCTTGACAGAACTGTCCTGTTAGTGTGGGGGTTTGTCCATGGACAGCCCAACAACATGATTTATGATAAGAGCTTTAGAACTTGCAACAGTTCTAACTTCTGGAGGAAATGGAGAGTCAATGTTGAATCTTTATGATCTTTACTTTTATGTAAGACACATGACATAACAAAAATTTGGTATTTCATGAAAACTAAAGCCTTTTACATATTAATAAGACATTATCAGAGAAATGAAAATCTGTGTATAAATTATGTCTGGTAAAGGTTTAGTATATGTACAGACGCACACACAATCTGTAACAAAGAGGCACAGCTAATTAATAAACAGAAACTTAAAAAATACATGTCCGTCAATGACAATGTGGAAATGGATAACCAACAAATGAAAAGATGTTTGACCACTGTGGTAGCTTGAATGAAAATGGCCCCCATATGCTATTGTTTGTTTTTCCCTCTTTATTCTTTAGGCTTTTTGGAGGGCCTGCCACCCAGCTCCCAAATAAATCACAGTGTCTTATTACTACTTATAAACACCTATAGCTTGTTTCTTGCCAGCTTTTCTTAACTTTAATGATCTCATCTATCTTTGGTCTCAGGGCTTTTATCTCTATCTATTCCTATATACCTTTTCTTTCCTTCTTACTCTGTATCTGGCTGTGTAGCCAGGTGACTAGCCCCTGAAGTTCTCCTCCTTCCTCTCTTGTTTCTTCTTCCTTTCCTCCCAGATTTTTCCTTCTACATATTCTCTCTGCCTTCCAGTCCCACCTATCCCTTTCTCCTGCCTCTCCATTGGCTGTTCAGCTCTTTATTAGACCAAGCAGGTGTTTTAGGCAGGCAAAGAATATCAGCTTCAGAGGCAAACAGATACAGTATAAACAAAAACAGCACATTTTTACATTATTAAATGTTCCACAGCGTAAACAAAAGTAACACACCTTAAAATAATATTCTACCACACCCATAGGCTCATGCTGGAACACTTGGTTCCCAGTTGGTGAAACTGTTTGGGAAGGGTTAGGAGGTGTGGTCATGTTGGAAGAAGTATGTAAGTGGGTGCTGCTTTGAGATTTTCAAAGCCCACACCATTCCAGTTAGCTTACTCTCTCTGTTACTGCCTGAAGATCGTGGTGTAAGTTCTCAGCTATTACTACAGTGCCATGTCTGCCTGTCCGTTGCCATGCTCCCCACAATGTTAGTCAAGGACTAATCCTCTGAAACTGTAAGCCCCAGGAAACTTTCTCTTCTATAATTTGTCTTAGTCAACGTGTTTTGTCAGAGCAATAAAAATTAAGACAATTAATTACCTATTAGGGAAATGCTTATCAAGACCACAATAAAATACCACTTTATACCCATTATGATGACCAAAATGAATAGGTCAGGTACTAAATATTGGCAAAGTTGCAGGAAAACTGGAACCTTTGTATATGGATTCTGGGAATGTCAAATGGTAGCCAATTTGAAAAAAATGTTTGATGGTTCCTTAAAAAAGTTAACACTACATGATCCAGTAATTCTATCCAGAAAAATTAAAGAACAAAGATTAAGAAATACTTGTACGTGAAATTTCATAGCAAAAGACTATTTAACTGAAAGGAAGTAATACATAAATTGTCTGTGGAATGCAACATATGAAGTACTAGTCATTCACAAAAAGGAAAGACATACTAATATATGCTACAGCATAGATACCACAAACACATTACACTAAGTCAAAGAAGCCTGACACAAAAGGTCATATACTATATGGTCAGTCACATCTGTATGAAATATCTAGAACAGGTAAATCCATGGATACTGAATTGCTAGGGTATGAGGAGAGAGACAGAAATGAAAAGTAACAGTTTAAGGAATATAGTTTTTATTTTAGAGGGTAATCAAATTTTTTAGAATTTGATATAGGCAGTGGATGTACAACTGTGAATGGACTAAAAGCCACTGAGTCATACACTTCAAAATAGCTTGTTATATGAATTTCACCTCAATGACTTAAAAGGAAAAGATTATGGTGGGCTGGAGAGATGATGGTTCAATAGTTCAGAGCACTTGGCGCTCTCACAGAGGACTAAAGTTTGGTTCCCAGCACTCACATGGCAGCTCACAACTGTAACTCCAGTTTCAGTAGAACCGACGCCCTCTTCTGGTCTCTTCAGGTACTGCATGCATGCAATACACTTAAATACATGCAAGCAAAATACACAAAATAATAATAATAAAAAAATCCTTAGAAAAGAACATGGTGATATATTTCTACTAACCCGGTGAATAATTCCAGCAGAGTGAAGGTGCTTGATTCCACACAGCATTTGATAGAGAAGGTAGGACATTCTTTCATGATCTAACTCCATCTGAATCACTTGGCAAAGATTTGCATCCATGAGCTCCATGACTATGTAACTTCATGGGTAGAAAAAGATGACAGCTAAAGTGTATAGTAACAATCTATGGATAGGTACTAGCAAAACTTTGTATTAACATCATTTTAATTACCACACTTACACATCTTGAAATTCTTCTAGGGATTTCTGTGGTGTGAAAACATTCAAAAGGCCAATTATCTGTGACAAAAGCAAAGAAACAAAAACATTAAAAACTACTTCCTGATGCTTCATTTGGTAACTGCAAATACACATGTGTTATAATAACTCACTATCCGTTTAAAATCAATCCAATTTTACATACTAAGCACAAATAAACATATATACTTATTAAATTGCTAGGAATGTGAGATGAGAAAAAAGAATGATCAGGAGGCACCGAAGACCTTTGGCGCAAATAAATATGAGTACTATAAAGGTGGAAATATATATAAATACCATACACTGGTTCAAACTCATAGGTTCTCTTATACCAAGTGAACCTTAGGGGCTGAGGGCATAGTTTAGCAGTCATGTTTACTTACTATGCAGACACCCTGGGTAAATTTCCTAGCACCAAGAAAAAAAAAAAAAAAAAAAAAAAAAAAAGTGTAATCTAACGTAAATTATGGACTTTGGATGATACATCAATACAGGTTATCAGTTATGACAAATGTACTACTCAGATGGTGGACAATGATTTTTGTGTATACATTCAAGGGCAAGGGATATGTGCAAACTTGTATCTTTCTCTCACATTTGCTAGGAAAGTCTTAAAAGTCTTAATATTTGCCTACAAATTATGAAGGTATTTACATAAAATAATTGATTGATAGAGTATTCATAAATAGAAAGTGTTATGTGTAGCCCTTCCATTGACTCTGAAAGACAACTATTCTACTTGGCCCTTACAGTCTATGTCATTCCTACATTCAGCACACTGTAGCAGAATCTCATTCTCACAAATTCATCTTTGACCACATTGGATCCTTGTTAGAAAGAACTAGCTGATGTGCTTTCATAGGCCAGTAATGCAACAATACATTTGACTTATTAAATGTCTGCTGGCAATTTAGGACATAATCTTCATGGGATCAATGGATGCTATTCATGTATGCATTAACTTCTGCTTACAGAAGGCATCTGCCAGTAGATATTCAGAAAAATATTAAACCAGAAAGGGTAAAACTATTTAAGACAGAGGGAATAACTGGCTGGAGATGGCTCAATGGTCAAGAGCACTGGCTGCTCTTCCAGAGGACCTGTGTTTAATTTCTAGCAAGCATATGTTACACCTGCCTGTTAACTTCAGTTCCAGGGGATATGACACCCTCACACAGACATACATGCAGGCAAAAAACCAATGAATAGTGACACACACCTTTAATCCCAAAGTTCCGTCACTAGGCAGAGGCAGGTGGATCTCTGTGAGTTTGAGGTCAGCCTGGTCTACAAGAGCTAGTTCCAGGGTAGCGAAGGTTAGACACATATAGAAACAAAAATGGGGTTAATGAATGCTTAGAGCTACTAAGGACATAGGGTTTCTTTCTGGTTATATGTATTAGTGAACATTTCAAACTACTCAATTGTATACTTTCTGTTGGTGAACTGAATAGTATTTGAACTGTATCTTACTGAGCTTCTGTAAGGCAAATGAAAACACAGCTGTCTTATTTTTCAAGAAAGCAAATAAATTATCTTAATCAGATTAGATGGTCAGGCAAAAGTCAAACAAGGACTGACTAGTGGATGGGGTATGGCTAGATACCAAAGAATTAATAAATTACCACAACCAAGTAAAAACTTACTGAAAAACACTGTTTTCTTCTATGAAAAAAAAAAAAAACAAAAAAACACCAAGAATAACAGTAACAGAGGAATAATGCAACGCAACTAGATATAGTATATAAAGATTTCAAAAAGGTTATTTGTGAAAATATCTCTAATAACATGTATGTGAACACAAAGAATTAGGGAAAACTGAGTAACTGATAGTTACACATGTCAATTTCTACAATATGCTTAACGATTCCAGCTATTATGAAGACAATGTGAGCAATTCTGGGAAGTAAAGCCAGTCGATGTAAAGTTAGAATGAAGAAATAGGGGTGGTGGTGGTGGTGGTGAACACTCTGGGGAGGACAGCCACACTTTACCATTGATATATCTAAAGGGGAACAACAGAACGTACTATACTTAATTCTCCTAAATCAATAGGTTGCAATGTGACTTGCTACCAGACCTTTGGCAATTACTTGTTAGACAGTGTGAGTCAAGTGGTTTAATACCTACAGTAGAGAGACAAGCCTCAATAGTTATTAGAGGAATCCATCAAACGCTGGTGTGCTAAATGTCTCATTAGAACAACCAGATTAAAAAAGAAACTAAAGATTATAAAAACCTTGAAAACATTAGGGAAACATCATTTCAAGATGATCTGTACAGAACATCAAAGTGCTGAAAAGATAAAACATTATAAAAAATATTCATCATACCTCAGGGGTGGCAGAGCAGAGTTGCCATTCATGGTTTTCACCATATTAATTGTCTGGGCCACTTTACATGGCTAAGCATACAAGACATGCTTCCCATACTCTCTTTTGAGCAGATGGAACATCTTTGTTGCCATCCAGGGTAAGGGAAGGAGTATTTGAATTCAACAAAGAAAATCTCAGGCAACACTTCAACAGCCCTAAAAGAAACTAGGTCCAGAGACTGGAAGGGACATGAGCAGCTCTAGCAGAGGTAGGGCCACAAGCAGAACTCAGACAAGCACTATTTCTTCCTTGATAATGACTGTAAGGAGTAAGGTTTTTCCGCCCGCCGCTGGTCTTGTCCCGCCGCCGCGCCAGCCCCAAATAATGTTTCTTATCGGCTAGCTCTGTCTTAAGTATTAACCCATTTCTGTTAATCTACATATTTCCATGTGTTTTCATCTTACCGGGGAATGGGCTGACATTGTGTTCTCCCCGTATCTCCATCTTGACTCCTCCTCCCTACTTCCTCTTTCCTCCTTGTCTCCTAGTCCCTTCTATCTTCCTTTCCTATTGGCCAACAGTGCTTTATTCATTAACCAGTATGAAAAACATTTATAGAATGGCATCTCCCATCAAATGACCACTCTTCCTCTGTCATTCCCTTTCCCAGAAATCTAATTTTCACCCCATCTTTAAGAGTCAGTTAGTCTACTCCCCTGTTTTTAAGCTGAGAGAAATCTCCCGTTTGAGATATCAGTATGTACTGTCTGTTCTTTACTATCTGACAGTTAAATTATTACTGCTTTGTATATTTAATTCTCATCCTGTTTTACTGCCTTCAAAACAACACCATAAACTTCCCAAATAATAAGCCTAATCCTTAACACATATACAGTTCACATTGGTAATTAATCTGTAACTTTAATATACAAAGGTTCTATTTGTAGCTAGCTCTCAAAATATGATGAATTGTATTTTCTACACTAGAAAGTATGGAACTAGTATTTTGCAAATTCCTACGGATGCCACTGGCCAGCACTTTCAGTTCAATGGTTCATAAAAATGTCCTTTCTGCAATTCTCTCCTAGTATATGTCCTCCCAGTTTGGAAACTGTCCCATTAAGATAATCACAAACATCAGTATGCTTAATGCAAACTTAAAAATATCTAACTGGGGCTGGAGAGATGGCTCAGCAGTTGAGAGCACTAGCTGCTCTTTGAGAGGTCCTGAGTTCAACTCCCAGAAACCACATACTGGCTCAGAAACTGTCTATAATGGGATCTGATAACCTCTTTTGGCATGCAAAACAAACAATCAAACAAACAAACCAAAAACCTGTTCATTTTCAAATTGAATGAAATCTTTATTTTCAAGTTAGAATTTTTTTTCTTGTTCTCTGTAAATATTTCCAAAATTTTTGTTCAACTATTATCAGTGGTTATCTGTGTAAAAGTATTGACACCACTTAAAAGAAGTCAGAATTGGATGCAGTGAGGTATCTTGAATTTTGTGCTAAGTTCTAATGTCCAAGTACAATAGAAATGTACATTTCTGTACAGTTAACTGAAATGCCAGCTCTACATGGAGCAAAAAAAAAAAAAAAAAAAAAAAACAAAATACAAACCTAAGATGAGAAAATTCTGAATAAAATTATTTTTTTAAACAAATATTTATTTCTTTATGTATATGAGTGACTTGTCTCCATGCACAGCAGAATAGGGCACTATATCTCATTACAGATGGATGTGAGTCACCATGTGGTTGCTGGGAATTGAACTCAGGACCTCTGGAACAGAAGTCAGTGCTCTTAACAGCTGAGACAGCCCAATAAAATGATTTTCAAACATTTATCTCCTTAAAATTCTATAAATACATGCCAGGAAAATAACCAATGTAAATTTCACAACTAATTTTTTCCCCCTTTTGGTACTACTTACTAATGCAGGTAAGGGGAGGGGATGGAAGGAAGAGCAATCTGTAGATTTTAAATAATGTTTCAATCTAGAGAAGCAATTTAAAGCCCCTAATATTAAAAAATAAAAAAGCCTTTGATAGGCATGTATTCATGAATAAATCTTGATTTCATTTGTACTGAAAAAACATGAAATATTCACTTACATTTTTATGATTAACACATTTCATAAGAACTAGTTCTCGGTAGGCTCGCTTAGCATGAGTCTGATTCTGAAATGGCCGGCTGAGCTTCTTGATTGCAACATTTCTTTCAAGAATGGCATCATAAGCTGCACTATAGTAAGAAATTAAAAAAAAAAAGTTAGGCACAAAGTTCTAAAATCAAACTCATAGAGTAATCACATAGACTCCTTTCTTAATTTCTTCACCAAGACTATGTGTCATCCAAGATCACTTAGCACAGGTGGACACTAGTACATTAAGTTCTTTTTGTCTTTCTTTTTAAATTGCATTAAAAAAAAAATGTACCCATTTTGAATGTATATGTTTAGGGGTGGGTAAGCATGTCATGTGGAAGACAGAAGACAACTTGTATGAATCTCCAGGATCTACAGATCCTGGAGATTGAACTCAGGCAGTCAGGCTTAATAGCAGGCTCCTTTCTTTACTCACTGAGCCACTGATACACAAATTTCCAGTATTGGTCTAAAGTCTAAATGATTCCTTCACCTTGCACCTCTATCAAGAAAGATGGGCTATGTGATCATCACTTCTTTTTTTTTTTCTTTCTTTTTTGAGACAGGGTTTCTCTGTATTATTTTTGAGTCTGTTCTGGCACTCACTCTGTAGACCAGGCTGGCCTCAAACTCACAGAGATCTGCCTGTCTCTGCCTCCTGAGTGCTGGGATTAAAGGCATGTACCACCAATGCCCGGCTGTGACCATCTATTTCAAATATTTACTGAAGACTTTTGGGGCTGGAGAGATGACTCAGTAGTTAAGGACACTAACTGCTCTCCCAAAGGACCCAGGTTTGAGTCCCAGCATCCATATGGCAGATCACAACCATCTATAACTCCAGTTCCAGGGATCCAATGCCCTCTTCTGTCCTCCACAGATACATGAATAGCACAAAGATATACATGCAGGAAACACACACACACACACACACCTATACATATATCTATATATCTATATAATCTATCTATATAATATATATCTATATATTATATCTATATAATAAAGACATTTTACAATGTATTTACTTAAGAATACTGTAGTGTTTTAATTCTTTAGGACACAAGACAGCGAGTACAAAAAGGAAGTAACACTAGAGGACGTATACAAAACATTAAAAAATAAATACTTTAACATTCTGTTTTGGAGAAAGAACTAAAAACTCAAGATATTGATAAATATGAACATTAGATCTGAGGGCCTGAGGAAAAATAAAAATAAAAAGTGTTTCCATTATATAATTCTGTTAGATTTTAATATTTTACCATAATTGTTCTGCTTTTTTAAAAGAGAAACATTACAGGTAAAGACTTCCAATTCTGTTCTCAGAAGTAAGCTTTTACCTTTTCTACATGTACTAAACCCTAAGTATATGGAACTGCTTTGCATATTTTACATTACAGAGAAATAATACAATATGGTGTATTTGTTTTAGGTTGCTTTATTACTCAGCAACCATACTTCAGATGGTATCCAGGTGACACAGCCAGGTCCAGTTCACTGTAAATGTTGTATAGTATTTTGGCGTTTGCATCACAATTTTTTATTCTCTTGTTGCCAGACCTGATGCTGTTTCAACTTTTGCTATTAGAAACAATGCTTCAAAGAACAGCCTTATGTGCATGTACTTGTGGACATATACAAGAGCTTTTCTAGAACCTTGTGAACATGCTGGATCATAAACACTCCCAATTTCTTTTTTAATAGACTTTAAACAAATTTTGTTTAAGTAGTAATAAAGATGTAATTACACTTGGGTATGGCTTAGCAATTCCCCAAACACTAGATTATAAAGCTAACCTAGTGATTCTGAATCAGTAGCAGAACTATTGCAAGGACTGCTTTCTATTTCAATTTATAAAGAATTATGCTCATCTATAAAACTTGGCCTTTTTGTAGAAGAAGCTTGTAAATCAACTTTAAAGATATATATTTTGAAACACTGTGAGATGTATTAGTTGACTTTATTCCCCAGTGTGAAGTAGTAAGATCTATGAAACTTCTGTTTCACTATAGAGTGAAAGTGAAGATTAAGTGAGGCATCTCACTTGTCAGGTATGGGAATAGACGCATTTATGGAATGAGCAAGTCTGCCATTTCCTTTTTCCTATATGCCTCTATATGACTTGGACCAAGTAAGTATTTAGTCATAGTTCATATTTCAAGATAGCATTGTTGGTTAATAGTTACAGTTTAGTGATGGGAGATGTCATTCTGTATATGTTTCTTATATTGATTAATGAATAAAACACTGTTGGCCAATAGGAAAGTAAGATAGGCGGGACTAGGAGACAAGGAGGAAAGAGGAAGTAGTAAGGAGGGTCAAGATGGAGAGCCTGGAGAGAACAGAACCGCCATTCCTCCGCTCTCGGTAAGACGACCACGTGGAAATACATAAAAATGGGTAATACTTAAGACAGAGCTAGCCCATAAGAAACTAATAACAGGCCAACAGGATTATATCAAATACAGAGTCTCTGTGCATTATTTGGGGCTGGCACGGCGGCAAGACAAAACCAGGCGGCAGGCGGAAAAACCATACACCTTACAGTTTAGGGATAATAAAAAAGACCAGTAATCCCTGAAAAAATTATTACATTATAGCTTTTGTTTATACAGATTTTTTTGAGTAAATTTAATTATTTACCAATAGATTTATATTACAAAGAGGAGAAAGGGCAGCAGTTAAAGACTGTTTGCCTTATTTTGAAATAAAAACTTACCACACTATTCCTTGAGCTCCTGAACCTATAGGTTTTAAATTCTGGTATCGTTTTAGGACGGTGAATGTAGAATCTCCAATCTCTACACTATAAAAATTGTTGTCCCGCTTGCTTCTGCTCATGATGGCAAGCGATTAGTTTAATGGCTTCATCCAAATATTCACCAAGGCTACAAAATAAAAGAAAACATGATGTAAGAAAATGAGTTTGTGTAGTACTAACATCTAAGTCCTTACTCTATTCACCATAGGAACACAGACTGCTAGGTCATCCTTATTAAGAAGAGTGCATCACAAAAACAAAACCACCATCAAGCATTGCTTAGTACATGTTACATGTGAGTAGATAATGACTGGTTCTTTAAGTCACTGGTATAATGCCCACTTACCTAGCCAAAACAAAACAAAAACCAAACCAAATCAAACCAAACCAAAACAAAAACAAAAAAACCCAAAGGGGGCTAGGGAGATAAGCTAGTCAGTAAAGAGCTTGTCACATAAATATGAGGGCCTGAGTTCAAGCCCCAGCAAATGCTGGGTTAAGTGGAAATAAGCGGAACACAATGTTCAGTGTTGGGAACATGGGCATAGGAGGATACCTGGGCTTACTGACCATCAAGCTTAATTTTATCAGTAAGCCCCATACCCCAGCAAGATGATGTCTCAAAATACAGTGGCTAGCTCCTGAGGAACACCTGGGGCTGACCTCTGACCTCCACAAATACATGTACCTCCCCTACACACTATAAAAAACAAAAGTAAGCAAATAACTATAATTAAACATGTCCTAGAAACCATTTCTACAATGGAAAGCCAGACAGTAAATTGTTAGCACATATTGCACATGTTTAATAAGGGTCTTTTTTGGTGCTATAACACCCAACAATAACAGTAACAGTAACTTCTAGTACAACACAATGGCTGTTTGATAAAAAGTAGGATAGAAAACATAAGATTAAGAACCTTCTGGTCGGTCATTAAGAACATTAATATTCAGTGGCCTCAGAGTATACTTTTCAATCTCTCCTTAGTTTTTTCATAAAATTGCTCAATTCTCACAAGCAAGCAGCTTTCCTTTAAAAGTACTTAAAAGGATCAGATAGCTTTATACTGCCTTCATAAATTGTATCTCCCAATTTTGTTTTCAGACCTGACAAAAGCAGGCCAGACAGTCTCCTGCCTGGCATACTTTATTTGGCTTCCCAAGAATACTGTAAACTACTGATTTTCCTCATTCCTCTCTGTTCCTATACTTTGTAGCCATGTTTTTCACTGGCCTTCAAACAGGATTTCCTGGGCTGTCTTGGTCCTCATCTCATAATACACTCCCAGGGCAATTTCATCTACTAACAGAGCTTCAGCTACTACCAAAATCTCAAGAGTTTCCAGTATCTGTTTACCATTAAGTCTTTCTTCTATTCCAGATGTGCGCATGTAAGGGTCTACCAGAAAACTCAGATGTCTCAAAGCTACCTCAAATTACATGTACAAAAATAACCATTTCCCTCAACTCCCACCAAATCTGTTTCTCCTAGGTTCTTACAGCTCAGAAACCGCTTTCATCATCTCTGCAGGAATCAAGCCAGGAACAAACACAGCACATTATCCCTGACTCTTCACACTCCCACATCCAATCCATGAAGTTCTGGAGACTCAAATGTTATCTACCACAAACCTATTTTCATATTATAAATGTTCTATTACCAAGGATTGATGCCACATTCTAGTTAGTGACATCCTTTGGACAGTTAACTTAAAAAATTGGTATATTATAAATCAATATTATTGATTTATTGATTGATTTGTGTATGTATAGGGGTGTACAGTGCAGTACAGAGATAGCCATGTTCTCTCCTTTTACCCTGTGGGGCCTGAGGATTGACCTCAGGACATCAGCTTGAGGGCAAACACACTTATGCATCAAGCCATCTCATATGTTCATTTATTATTTATATAAATAAGGCAGGCAAAAATAGGGAACAGCTTACTAACCTGGGATGATCTTGCCTGAACTACTTTTAAATGAGCATGGAATAAGGCAAAACTACATCCTGAAATGAACTTTGAGGGAGAATCCCCTAGTTACTATCACATTCCTTCTACATAACTGGATGTGCATATGACTAAAAACAGTTGCATTATAGGAAGAGACATGATCAGAGGAAAAAAATTATGCAACCTAATCTGTAAATCAAAACAGAGAACAAAGCTCACTACACTCCAGGTCACCAAACAGCTCCTTCTGAGCCCTATAAGAGGAAGCCTTGAAAAATAATCAGGGCCCCTGAGTATTTTTACTCACATGGCCTGCTGTTTCCTTGTAGTATGTTCTGGTATTTTCTACTGCTTTGTTTTAAATAAAGTTTCCATAGTATTTTTGCAGATCTGTGTGGGCTTTGCTTCAATTCCTTGAAAAAGGGGCCAATAACCTGGAAACACAAGACCTTCACCATTGGTAACATCATTTACTAATACAGTCTTTATTTTAAGAGTATATAGGTAACTATGAAATCCCAATCAATACTAAAATTTCCTTTGTCAGACATACCTCAGATAGTTCTTGGGTCAACACCTTCTAATCTAATTTTAAGTTCAGAAAATAAAAGTGAAATTTATTGACTAAGTATTGCACATTCAAGAAACCAAGTTTTGCTGTTTACTTGTTTACAAGGAGGCTGCCACTACCTACAATAAATTGTTTAATATCCAGTTTTAGAAACTACACCCAGGGTAAAACTATATCAATCTGCATGGAAGTGCTTTCCAAACTGAGTACCAGAATGGAGCATAACCATATATTGTAACCCTGCAGTATAAAACTCAGAAGTGACTAAATAATGGACTATGCAATTAACTTTAGATTAAGTTGACTCCATAATTACCATGCCACAACTATAAATCATTAAATAAGCTCATAGCTTGACAGCTGGCAGTTCCTTTCTTATATCTAAATGTGTTCCGGTCACATAAGATTCCAATACTAAGATGTTAGGAAATCAGTGGACAAAAATAATTTGCCAAAGATTCTTTATTGACAAGACATACTCTTACGTTTCCTCCAAAAGATGGAATTTAAAATCTCTTTACCATTATCTTAGCTAACAAGAATTATCAAAATCTAGGAATTTTCATACAAGACAGCATAGTATAAATTCATCAATACTTGATAATCCATAAAAAGGAATAAAAATCTCAGTGTACAGTCAATGGGAGGATACATCTTAAGCATAGTTACATCAATGGTTCAGTCAGAAGTTATAATTATTTTTCTATCAATACATAGGATAGAATAACTTCCAAAATTGTTAAGACTGCATAGCAATTTAACAGCAAAAAGGACCAAAGATTGCCAAACTAGAAAAACGATTCTATACATGGACAGACATTAACTACTTCTTTTATAACATTTAGAGCAGTATTGTTAGTGCAATTGTTTCCTTAAGAAAACTCGCAATGATCATATTTGCTATTTTACAAACTTCTTTATTTTACATCTAAAAGGACTCGAAGATAAATCAAGAAACGTTTATAAAGACAGACAAAGCCAAACCATGAAGACCTGAGCCTAATTCCAGCACTGTTCAAGTATGCTCAACATAAAGAGTTACAGATCAGTTTGGGCTGCAATATCAAGACCCCATTTCACCACCTCAAAAAGAAAAATTATTATCTAGTTGCAGCACTTAATACATGTGCAGTTCAGGGTGGCCTCACACTCACAATTCTCACAATTCCACCTCCCAAGTGCTAGGAATACAAAAGAACATACCAAGTCTGCTCCAAATCAGTTGTTAAAAAGAAAAACACAAAATTTTCTAAGTATGTAATGCACTGTCTTTACTTTTGATTTGATGAACAATGGCTGGCAAGTGTCAATTTGAGCAATGAAAGTGGTGCACATGAGCCAACTAAGGGACAATAAGTTTATTTATAAGGCAAATGTTACTGGTAACAGTGTATAAATAACAGCAGAAAACCAAGAAGGTGTCAAGAAAAATGAATGTAAGAATAAATTTAAATAGAAATCAGATATTAGAGAGTAAAGATGAAAACGTAAACACTCATGGTGTGTTTTGTTTTTATTTTTTTAACTATATAACCTGAATTTAAACAGACATTGCAGAACATAAAGGCCTGAAAGAGAGCAGACAGCAAACAGAACACGAGGTGGGTAGCCATTGGTAGAGAGGGCCAGGACCTTAGAAGCTCAGTCAGATTGACCTTCTATGAAGAAATAGGGTGGTGAATTGTGGTCTGCTGGACTCTTATCCAACTCACCAGCAGAGCTGATGCAAACTTAAAAAGTGCAGGTCCTCAGGAAGTGTAAAAGACGCAAACCCCAAAACCAAACAACAACAAAAACCCAAATAAACTGGTAAGGTGAATTAAAAACTCTTTAGAGTACTCAAATCAACTTGATTGCTTATCAAAGTCAGAAAATCAGGTCTGAAACTGTTAGAAGATTCAAATCACTTGAAAAAGTAAAACACTGTGGGGTTCATTCCCAATTTGGAGGTGCATTTTTCTCATCTACAGATTGTTATCAGATTATAAGTCATTGGTATGACTGCTTTTACTACCAAAATGTAATGATTTCAGCCACACTACCCAAAAAAACTAGAGGAGTAGGTAACAAGAAAATGTGTTTTTATTTGTAATTTTCCCATGAAGGGAAACAGATCCAAGGAACATGGAGACTAGGTTATGATACACAAACCTAAGAAGGCAGAAACAAGAGTCAGAAAAGACACAAATGCAATAATGTTACAGAAATCTCAGCTAAGAAGTTAGTCTGGAAAACGGATAATTAGTTATTTTTCTTTCTGAGATTCACTGTTTATAAGTAAAGGGAGTGAATTGTGGGAAGAAAGGAATACAGAACAAAACCAGCAACTGCTTAAAAGAACAAACAGCTGGTTTGACTGTGCAAATATTTCACAAAAAGATTCTGCCAGAAATAACTCAAGGAAGGTAGGACAGCCTGAGGAACTTGGCAAGGTCAATGGAAATAAGGAAAAGTACTGTAAGAGATCAATAGATTTGTGAAGTGGATATATATTAAATGAACAAGAATCTAAAATGAAAGAAACTGCATGTGATTGGAAGGGCAGTGATACAATGGACTCAGAGTCCACTCTTATCATTACCAATGTATATATGTAACTACTTC